GATCACAAATATTAATAAATCTAGTAAGTACGTTTGGGTTTCCATCAAATTCGGGCACAATCCTAAGGATTTTATAAATAGTGTCCGGATCCTGAGCCATATTTAAAATATTATTTAAAATTTGTGACTTACAATTAACTTCTAAATTTAAATTTCTAATATTATCTAAATTACGATGACGGGCTTGCTGCGATGCAGATTCCCGATTTCTATAAACTCTAGGATAAAAAATTTTGGAATGGAAATATAACTAGGATAAGAGCAACATGAGAATAGTTCAAATGTACTCACATATAATTCATTTCTGGTTTCTCCTCGTGAATCGAAGTTTGGATTCTCCTTCCGGCTCTGCAGCTGGTCCGTAGATTCAGGATACTAGCGATGACCTAATTGTCCCTATTCTAGTATCCTACCGACTGCGCCAGTTACGTTAGCTACAGTCGGAAGGTCGAAAAAAAACCAAAAACTAATTTAAACTAATTTATTTTAAAACTAGCGGCTCACCCTCGCTTCGCTCGGGTTCACCTCTAGAAAAGTACAAACAGATCTATCCCACGGGAACCGTTCATTTTTCCGGGATAAAAATAAGTAACCTGTTGTTCGACCGGCAATATAAGGTATCAGCATGCCTATATTACTCAATTAGGAGCATAAGTTGTTGTGTACTGGGCGGTATAAGTTACTATAGTTTTTTAACTATCCGACGGGAACTCTTTAATTTTCCGGAATGAAAAGTACCAAATTTCATTTAAATAGGTTCAATAGTATCGGAGATTAGCCCGTACAAACAGACAAACAGATAGAGAAAGAAAAAAAATGAAAAAAATCTGGATTTGTTCTATTTCTATCCTTACGGGATGTAAGAAGAGAACTGACTCGTTTTTCTGCATTTTTTTCTACCATTTATGTACAGACATTCGACCTCTACAGTTTTATTATTCATATATGTATATACAGATAGAATAAATAACGTATAATAAAACAGTAATATATAATAATGAAAATAGTTATAACGAGTGTACCTTAGGAGATAAACATATACTATGTAGAACTTTTCTATAGACCTTTTTAAGACTTACAATTTTCTTGTACAATGTTTGATGAGCCAACGTTAGCCATATAAATTTCTAAGGACAATTCGATAGAACCAGTTATTGTGTTTTCCCGTGGGAATGAACAATTTGCCTGTCGTAAAAGGTATTCTAAATGTTAGCCCGAGCACTAAGTTTTAACACTATACAAAATTAAGTTAAAATCGGTTGATTACTTTTTGCGTGAAACGCGCACATCGATTTGACTAAGTTTTATTATAAGTATAGATAAGAATAAATATTGCGAGTGTAACTTAGGAGATAGACATATTATACTATTCAGAATTTTTCTGTAGGAGTTTTCAAGACCTACAATTTTTTAGTATATTGTTTTGATGTATGTAAGTCTTAAGGCTTAGCCAGCGGAAGGTTTCTAGGGAGGACTCGATAAAACCAGTTATTGTATTTTCCCGTGGGAAAGAAAGATTTTCTTTAAGTAAAAGGTATCTAGGCAGTGGTATCCCAGTGGTAACGCGCTCGCTTGAGAAACCGAGTGAAGCAAGTTCAAATCCCGGGTCTCGCACCTCTGATATTTTCATGTGCGAATCATTTCTAAAAAAATTACCACTTGTCTTAACGGTGAAGGAAAACCTGCATGTCTGACAGAACCTAGCAAGTTTTCGAAAAACATGTGAAGTCCACCAACCCGCACTTGGCCAGCGTGGTGGACTATGGCCTGATCCACCTCGTACTGAAGGGAGGCCCGTGCCCAGCAGTGGTACGTTAAAAAGGGCCGAATACAACATACATACTACATACAAAATGTACCCTAAATATTGACTCGATTAATAAGTTATCATACAGACAAACAGTCAAACAGACAATTTTTTTAATAACTATTGTTTTGGGGTTTATGTTGTGTACATAATACGTTACAAATAAACAAAAACATCTATCCCACGGGAAAAGTACATTTTTCCGGGATAAAAAGTAACCTATTTGTTATTCTGATGTATGAACTATATTATTGTAAAGTTTCATCAAAATCCAATCAGTAGTTTTTATGTACTACGCTGTATAAGTTACTATAGTTTTTTGACGATCCCACGGAAACTCTTTAATTTTCCGGGATGAAAAGTATCTAATATGTTTCCCGGGGATATAAGGTACCACCATGCAAAATTTTATTTAAATAGGTCTAGCAGATCCGGAGATTAACCTGTACAAAGAGAAAAACCGACAAACAATTCGCTCGGGTTCGTTCATACCTACGAATATGTTGTATTATCTCTTTAACCATTTGTCCAAATTATATGCAGTAAAAGGGAAAAGTCTTTTGTTTTAAACATTTTAGACGATTAATTTGCTTATTTTGATAAGAATTCATAATTGTTGATAATATGACCAATAAACATGACCTACCGATTTAAATTGTTTTTTTAATATAAAAAACTACTTTTTGTGACTTAAATATAAAAGTTAGATATATGCTGTCGCTGACTTTTTTGTAGGCATTATTAAGCTCTACAACTTTTCTCTAGAACATAATCATATATCTCTCATAGTTAAGGCAGCGTTCGTAAGAAACGTTTTCGTTCGATCGTTTTTTCTCCGACTTACTTTGCAAATCCGACTACCACGAAAAAACCTTTTCATTTTTCGGGTTAATATATTGCCTATGACACTCAGAAAGAACGTGGCTTTCTAGTAGTAAAAGAATTTTGAAAATCGGTTCAGTAGATCCAGAGATTACCCCCTACAACATCACAAACTCACAAACTCACAAGATCACAAACTTTACCTCTTTATAATATTAGTATAGATTACAAATTAAACTTATTATCTAAATTTAATGTCCAACCTACTCGATGTAAGTTTATGGAATGTCACTAAACAATATGTAAGAATTAAAGTATCCGAAAACTGCAACTCTGCATTCCCGTCCCGATGTCGACATTCTGTTTATTATTTCAATCGTGGGAATTTAATGTATAAGCGATTCACTTGGAACACCTGTATGTAACTCGGTACTAACGTCACTCAATTGTTTTGCCTTCCCGGAGCCTCTCCACTAACACTTAAACTGTATTGTATGTATACATGTAAGCAATTAGTAATTTGAGCAATTATAATAAAATTAATGAACCATAGGGATAGAAACTTTAAATATTTTATATTTGTTTATTTTAGTTGGCTCTGACATAAGGCAGCTAATGCAAGACGCTAACTTTGAATAAATGATGAATAAAACCGAAGAGAATGCTTTTAAAAAGGCGGTGAAAATTTTTTTAGGAAACAGAAAAAGCCCAGATCATGAAAATATAGTTTAGAATAGTTTAGAAAATATAGTTTAGAAAAGTTGGATTTATATTTAACTTACTGGAATGGAGTTAAACGCACTCCTGTGTAGTGTGAAGTGCATTGTGTTTGCACTGCACATCTTTTTACACAATTTATTATAATTGTAGATTCGTAACGTAATATAAAAGTAATTATAATTCTTTGAATATAATGGTTTTCACAACAAACAGTAATTGAATATGATAATTTCATTGTTATATATTGTTTGCATTTATAAGGGCTTTGTTGTTCATAATTAATTCTACTATTTAAATTCTTCTAATTTAAATATTATTTTATAGTTAACGGTTGTGTTTATTATACTTAAATAGAAAAAAATGTACATATAACGTTTAAAATAGTTTTTTTACCCTATTAGAGTCAGTCGTTCTATTAAACCGACTACCAAAATAGAAGGTCCACAATTTTAACGATTTGAGAGTCGGTGTAAATATTTAGTTACAAATCGTTACGCCCGCCTATTATCCTCAAAATTCTGAATCTATATATATCTATAAGTACCTACCTACTACTTACTCTCGTTTCCCTCAGGTGTATCCGGTGTATCAGGGTGTCTTTTCTATTAAAATTATTATATATAAGCAGGTAGCGCCATCTTTTGGCGATTCTTTTTACTAACAGTAGCCTGTGTATTATTATCCAGGTTATATAGTCTATTTAACTAAATTTTATCGAAAACTATCCAGCCGTTCCAGCGTGATGTAACAAACAGACGCACAAACTTTAGCATGAATATATTTAAGTAGTAAGCAACCATTTCAATTATATTTGTATTTACATGGTAAATTAAAAATATCGTTAAACTTATGACCACCGAATCCATACTAATATTATAAATGTGAAAATGTGTTTGTTTGTTTGTTTCTCTTTCTTTCACGTCGAAACGGAGTGACGGATTGGCTTTTTATGTGAGGAGATAGTGGGAATACTGAAGAGTGACATAGGCTACTTTTTACCGCATGAGATTATCTAATTCCCGCGGGAAAATACGTTATAAAACAATCCAAAAAAAATATTTATGATCAGAATTACTTGAAATTTGGTATTGAATTGCTCTTCAATAAAATTAAATAACTACCTTTTTCGAAATTCATCCTTTATGAGGGTAAAATAGAGCATGAAAGTTTGTACGAAACTACCTTTTAGAGGTTTTTTTATAGTTTTAGCGCGAGCGGAGCCGCGGGTTCTGCTAGTATTTTATATTCCCGAATCGAATACTAATAATTATTATGGCCTATTTACCTACGTTGTTAAGGTTAAATAAATTAAATTAATATACAAAAATTTAAATGAAGGCACCCATTTCCTATAAAACTAATTCACACTATAAAAATCTGTTAGAAGAATTTCTATTGCTATTACTAGTCGTTCACAAAGAATTCTTTTTGGCCTAATAGGTGTTATATTTTGTAGATTTGGTGTTATAGATTGGTGTTATAGGTGTTATAGATTTGATACTAAAATTTAATAACATAACCAAAGCTGAATTCTAAGCCTATGTTATAAAATATAGCAATAAAAAAATACTTCATTATTCTTTCTAATTAAACTAATAGAGAAGTTAGTTTTATATAGATAAATAATAAGATTATGTTCGTATTTCAGACAATGGCACCCAATGATTCAAAAAAAACTTTTGTGGAGCCAGAGGTGGAAAGTGGAAAATCGGGAGATAGGGTCTTCATAACAGGAATGTCAGGTTTATATCCTGAATCCAAGAACGTGAAGGATTTGTCAAATATTTTATATAATAAGGTAGGTACGTGAATCAATCTTTTTTCTCATCTCTTTACCAACCGATTTTCCGATTTTTTTTTTCAATTTTTTATTTAATAGCTATTGACGAGCTTTAGTGTTGTCAATAAAATACATTTTGGAAACAGTTATTTTTTAATATAGATAAATAAATAGATAGAAATTTTATTCTTTTACATAAAGTTTCCTAAAATTTTCAATAATGGTTATGGTCGAATTGCGCCCGATTTTATTTCTTTACATAATTAAAGTAAAATATTTACTTATTCACTTAACTATACAGTAACAAATAGTAAAAAGAGTTGTTGAAGTTTTAAAATAAAGCACATGTAATAAAATATTTATTTGAAACCAATTATAAATCTTAATTGTAGTTTGGATTTTAAATCACAATACAATTTATATTAATAACCTTTTTGAAGATTTAAATTTAGAACTAGTCACAGAACACTTTAAAGGTACAGAACTGCGGTACTTTTTAGCTTATAAAGTACTTTAAGACACACTAAAATCAAGTTTCTATGGAAACGTGTTAGAAGTGAAACGTCATTGGTTATTTATATTTAAAATCAGTAAAATTAATAAATTAATAACATTTTTTAATATTACACTCAGAAAAAAAAATATTTCAAACGAATTTCACACTAAGAGGAGAAAATAATATTGTATCTCTTTCTATCTAGGTTGATTTTTACATCTATATATCGCATATAATCCAAGGGACCCGAGCGAAGCGAGGGTGAGCCGCTTCTTATAAATATTTTGCATATTTGAAAAAAAACTTGTAAAAATAGTAATTTTTGAAGATAGCAACGGAAAGAATCTCATATCTATCATTTTACAGACAATAACAACGGTTAATATGCAAGCGGTTACTATGGCAATCATGACGGTTTATTGTGACGTTTTCTAGTGGCGCGACCTTGAAATTTTACTCTCATGCGGAAAGAAGTTTCACTTCAATATAAAAACTTAAAAAAAAATAGAACGACTTAAAAGTAGGCAATAACTAAACGAGGTGTTTCATTTACATTAGATTTCTAGTCTACTTTTTAAGCTCATGTCACTTAAAAAATAGGGATATATATAGTCTCGCCATAAATATTGTTACAAAGAAAAAACATTCTTTCTATTGCACGTAATATTTATTACTATTACAGTGTGTTAGTTTAATACATTAATATAAAACCAATAAAAATATATAAAGCTTATTCGAAGTGTTCTCAATTGGCTGCAATACAGGCCTTTTAAACGGTGAGGCCAGTTTTCATTGGAAGCACGTACTCTTTTCGTGGAAAAATTCTTCATTGCCAATCGTATGGATTGTTTTAGGGACTCCAAATTATCAGGGCATTTCGAGCAAGCCATACTCTCTAAAACTAACCATAAATCATAATCCAGCGGATTAATATCGGGACTAGACGACAGCCAGTCTTCAGCTTTTATGAAGTCCAGAACGTGGGTTTCTAGCCAAGATTGTGTGGATCGAGCTTTGTGACCCGGCGAGTCTTGCTGAAAGAACCATTCTTGGTTATTGAACATGATGTTGTTAAGGTGCTTAACTAGATTCTCAAGAATGGTATCTTAATACACTTGTGCTGATGTTTTGATACTTTTTTCACAAAAATATGGCTCAGTCACTCCTTCGTAGCTAACACCCCACCAAACCATCACTGAAATCGCATAATGCCGACGTTGTACTCTGTTGACTAAATGGGAAGCTTCCTTAGAGCTTTGAGCATAAATATGATCATTTTGTTTGTTAAAATATTGCTCAATCGTAAAAAAATTTTCATCCGTAAACAAATTTTTTCTGTGACCTCCCTTTGCATACCGCTTAAGTAATTGTTTTGATTTTACCACCCTATTCTTTTTTAAATTATCAGTTAAGAAATTACCAGTGCGTCTCATAAAGGCTGCGAGTCCTAAGTCATCTTTTAAAATACGCGACATGGTTCTAGGTTGGTTTGCTATCTTCATCTCCCGAGATAAAATCTTTTGCTTTCGGACAGTATTTCTTCGAATTATTTCCCTTACTGCTTTGATCGCCTTTTTGCTACGAACACTACGTGAACGGCCAAATTTTTTCTGTCACAAATAGAGGAGGTTTCATTCTACCTATCAATAACCCAGTACACAGACGTTTGACTAATACCATAGAGTTTTAAATATTGTATTTGGCTTCATACCTACTTTGTGTAATGCAATCACAGCGACTCGGTTCTCTTTGTCACCCCACTTCATTTTAATATCACAAAATATTTTACAGTGTATTGGCGTGAAAATGAGAAAATACAATGAACAATCATATAAAAAGGACAGATTCCAAATTGAAATGTAATATTTTGTTTATTTTTAATAGTAACAGTATTTATGGGCCAGACTATGGATTTATATATTTATATAAATAAACATACACTTAATAATAATTATTGTATATGAAATTGTGTGCGTAGAAAAGCGACAAGAGTATAATAAAGAAAGTAAATAGTGCCAATCCCGCCCTGAAGCAATTTTTTTAGGCGATAAATGAGGCAAAATAGGAAAGCTAACTAAATTATATAAAACTCATAATGTTGACTAAGAATAAGTACCTACTCATGTTTTGTTAACCGATAGATCAATCCTGTTAATGCAGAAAGATGTCGTTGGCAATATGATCATCCTGAAGTCGCCAAATACACTGGGAAAGTGCCTGACCTGTCGTCATTTGATGCACAATTCTTTAAAGTCCATTATCGCTTAGGAAACAATATGGACGCAATGGGACGTAAAATTTTAGAACAGGCCTACCAAGCCATTTTTGATGCCGGTAAGTTTAAAAACTGAATGTACGTCGTAAAGTCTATATTTTGTCATGCTTTTTGTTTTAATCTTAATAGATTTTTTGTTTTTAGTTAGGATTTATTTACAGTTGTTCTTAAAGACAATGGAATTAATCACATGATACTTAATTTCTCATTTTCGTTAAATATTTATTTAACATATTTGTATTGGCTTAATTGAAATAAATTAAGAATATAATACATGTATAATTGAAATTGTGTCCGTCCTTTGTAGGAATCAGCCCAGTGGAACTCTCTGGAAAAAAAGTAGGCGTATATGTTGGCAGTTGCTTTTCTGAAACCGAAAAAGCTTGTTTTTACGTCGTAAATTCTAGAACAGGCTTTGGTATTGCAGGGTAGGTGTAGCTATGAAATCCGACCATTTATTAATTTTGACTAGCAGTTTAAAGCCTTTAGACGTTTAAATAATTTAGTTGAATTTACCGATTTATAAATGTTCGTGTAAGTAGATTTTTACTCTTAGCTTAGCTCGGGTGTGTCTATGTGTAAAACCAGACTATAAATTCGTCTAGCCATTTCATCTTGAAAGAGGAACATACAAACAGACAATCACACATACTTATAAATATTACTTGTTTGATATTAGCTGGTTAATAGTTACATTACCTGTAGTTACATTACCTTTAAAGGTTACGTATTTGAATTTGGTTGTTTGGATGACGGTGAAACTTTCTTCTTGTTTTCCCTAATATGATGTCTTTTAGACAACTAAACACTTAATTTACTTTTGTAAATCATCTGTTTCTGTTGGTACGCTATATCTTATTTAATATTTCATCAAAATAAAAATAAATAAAAAAATTTATGACTGTGACATCATGTTGAAGATGTTTCTCCGGCTAAAGAATAAAAAACATTTAAAATTAATATGTTCACTATAAAACTTTAATATCTTTTCATAAAATTGATTTACTTATACTTTCATGATTCTGCGCGACAAACCACCGCTTCTTAATATTTTTAAAATTATATTTACGAGTACTATAAACAGTAAGAGTGCAATTTTTATGTATTTTTTTTACAGATGCAGTAAAACAATGTTTGCCAATCGAATCTCATACTGGCTGAATGCGAAAGGGCCATCTATGGCTATAGATGAGGCTTGCTGCAGTTCTACTTGTGCACTCGAGCAGGCTTACCTAGCTATTAGTCGTGGAGAATGTGATGCCGCAATTGTTGGAGGAGCCAACCTGTGTCTGCATCCACAATCCTCTGTCCACTATGGGAGGTAATAATAAAACGAACGTTATAACTTTATTCAAATAGTAAATAAGAACAACTGAAGCAATATTATTTATATACGATTAAGAAAATTACAAATATACTTAATTATACATACGGAACAAATGTACCTACACTTAATAATTACTATACAAGTGACTTAAATGGACATTTAAATGGATGTACATTTCAATGCTTTTACTTGGTATGGTTCTTAGTTGTATTTAATGAAAATCTGATGCCTCTTATCTTTTAGCCTTTTATCCGAATTGGAATGGGAATTTTATACAATATTGTTTGGTGTACATGCTGCTACTAGCTTAGTCAGCAGACTGTCCAGCTCTTTAACCATCTTTTCTTCTATTTAGGTATACTACGAGTATGTATAGTTTGCCTGGTGGTCGAAATTTGACCATTATATAATCATTATTAAAAAAATGACAAAAATAGAATAGAATTTATCTATCTGTATATGTTAAAAAAACTTTACATGTTATATACTACGTATACATACTTTAATAAATGTTTTTCAGAATCATGAAACTAAGTATGGATGGTAAAACAAAATCATTTGATAATAATCCCGCTGGATGTTCTAAATCGGAGTCAATCAATGTCCTTTTCTTGCAAAAAGCTAAAGAAGCACTAAGGTGTGTGTTCCATGCTTACATAATTGTTTTTGTTTAAAAAATCAACAAAAAAAATCTTAACACAAAAAAATTACCATTTTATCCATTTGATTACGGGTAAAAATAATTAAAAAAAAACAACTTACCACATATTTCAGAGTTTATGCAGAAGTTGCTTATATTAAATGTGAGTTTACTCAACTAGAAGAAGATGAAACTGGTCCAAAATACGGTTTCTACAGAAATCCTAACATTTCGGCTGATTTTATAAAAAAATTCTATCAAGAAGCTGACGTTTCACCAGATATCGTGGAATATGTTGAAGCGGTTGGTTCAGGTAAAATAGTCACATAATTAGCACATAAATCTGGGTAACATAAAATCAATATTTAAAGATATATGAATTATAACATTAATATTTAATTATACTTTTTGCAGCTGTTGCTGAAGCTGATAGATCAGAATTACAATCGATTGATGAAGTTTTTTGCAAAAATAGAAGTGATCCCCTAAAAGTAGGAAGTGTCATGTCTAACATTGGTTATACAGAAGCTGCTTCAGGAATATGTGCCATTACTAAAGTAAGCTTACGAATAAAAAATAAAATGAAAGTGTTACTAATTTTTGTTTATTTATTGAGAAATGTATTTAAAAAAATAGGTTCTCCTGGCTTATCATACTGGAAAGATCGCAGCGAATTTACATTGTGATTCACCGCGGCAAGATGTTGCGGCACTCCGTGATGGTCGAATGTGCATTGTCACAGATCACATGGACTTCAGCTACTCCTACACAGCTGTAAACGGCCTGTCAGTCACAGGCGTCAACTCACACGTCTTACTAAAAGGCCATTATAAGCCAAAGGTATATTATGTCAACTCACTTTTAATTTTAATGAGTCTATCCATAATACCTTACAGATAGTAACTCTATCTTATTGGTTATTAATTTAGGTATTAGATTTTTAATATGCCAATGTAATTGTTAATATGCTAAAAAATTGGCAAATTTTATGTAAATAACATAAAAAATACATATCATACGTATTCCATTATTTACAAAGAAATTCATCCTATCGTATTCCATATTTCTTTGAATATGCGTAAGTTTCTAGGAAAATTAAACTTATCATATAGTAGCTACAGTGCGAGTTTTGTTATGCTCATATGGCGTGATAAGGATGCGTCTTATATGCAATGCAAATGAAGTTGCAGGAATTTGCTGATAATTGAGAAAAAATAACGTCTAATTTATTTTAGTTTTCTTATGTAAACATTTTGAATGTAAAACTCATTAAAACATTTTTTGACAATTATTGAAGTAATTAAACCATTAAATATTCCGTTTAAGGATTTATCTCGTTACAAAGCTACTATTCCACAATTAGTGACACTCTCAGGAAGGCAAGAATCATCAGTAGTAAAAATAATTAACGATTTAAAAACACGTCCTGTTGATCCCGAGGAGCTAGCTTTGCTTCGAAACATTCATAAAAGTAGAATTTTCGGTCACTTGGGTAGAGGATACACGATCCTTGGTAAGATATCATACTATTTAATGACCAGCGTTTCTTTTTTCAAAAATTGCTTAAAAATATTATATCAACCATTATATCTCTTTATACTTAAGATACAAACGAAGAAGGTAAAACGATTAGTTTATGTAAAAAATCTAACTACTTCGATGATGTCAAGCGACCACTTTGGTTCATGTATAGTGGAATGGGGTCACAATGGGCAGGAATGGGAACACAACTTATGCGCATACCAGTTTTTGCTGCAGCTATCGAACGGTAAATAACATTACATAAAAAATACCTTTAATACAACAAACGAAAATCACAGAAAAATTGTAATTGAATTAATTTGTATGTTACAGTTGTCGTCGAGCTCTTGAACCTAAAGGAATTGATATAGTACATATCATAACTTCCACAGAAAAAACAATATTTAATAATATCTTACACTCCTTTGTTGGAATCGCAGCAATTCAAATAGGGCTTACCGATGTTTTAAAAAAATTGGAGATTTACCCTGATATGATTATAGGTATTTAATATTCTGGTATTATATTTCCAGACAAACTTTCTAATATTTAAGATATCACTAATGATGATCTTGAGAACTCTGAGAGTTATTCTGAAATTTACATTATTTTAATTTTTTAACAGGACACAGTGTGGGGGAATTAGGATGTGCATACGCTGATGGTTGTTTTACAGCTGAAGAGATGATTTTATCTGCTTATAATCGTGGTCTAGTATCTTTGCAAACACCATTCATAAGAGGATCAATGGCTGCCGTCGGTGTTGGATACCAACAGGTAAAAATAACAATATTAAAAAACTAAAATTTTTAAAATTAATTTTGCATTATTTTTTAATAGATTTAACTTACACTAATATTTATTTGTTATAGATAGTTAAAATGTGCCCTCCAGAAATAGAAGTAGCATGCCATAACGGTCCTGACTCGAGTACTATCTCCGGACCAGCGACTGTAATGAAAGAATTTGTAGACCAATTAACTTCCAAAGGTATTTTCGCTAAGGAAGTGCCATGCTCAAATATTGCATATCACTCGCGCTATATTGCTGAAGCAGGTAAAGTATGCAAATTATAATAACACATTTATTTACATACATACAAATAAATATGAGTTATCTCTTATGCTCTTATTATTAAGGTCCCGGCTTACTCAAATATTTAACTGAAGTCATCAAATCTCCAAAGCCCCGTAGTGAAAAATGGGTGTCAACTTCGGTACCAAAAGAAAGATGGGGAGAAGAAATTGCTAAGTATTCTTCAGCTGAGTATCATACAAATAATTTATTGGTTAGTAATATTCTTGTCGTGTAGTGTATTATAATATATACTTTCGATTAGGATAAAATAAAAAGAGCATGGATTATAAAAAAAATGTATAAAGTTTAAAAACGTATTTATTGCCTAACATAAAGTTATAAACTATAACGATTAAGCATAAGAAGAAGTTGTATATTATTAATATATGAAAAAATGTTCAATGTAGAATCCGGTGCTCTTTGAGGAGACGTCACGGTTAATCCCAGCTAATGCAGTGGTGATCGAAATCGCACCACATGGTTTGTTGCAAGCCATCGTCAAACGGTCGCTACCTGATTCATGTCGGCACATTCCACTCACTAGGCGTGGACACGTTGACAATGCACTATTCTTGCTAGAAGCCATAGGAAAGTTAGTTAAATTAATTTAAACTTTTATAAAATGTAGATATTTAAATGTCGATAATTTGTCAGTATTATTAATTAATTAATATATCTTTCACAGACTTTATATGGATGGATTTAATCCTAAAGTGGAAGTTCTGTATCCTAAAATCGAGTATCCTGTTTCGACTGGAACACCAATGTTATCACATTTAGTGGAATGGGCTCATAATGAAAAATGGTAAATATAACTGTAATATAGAATTTTTATTTCTTTCTTAAACCAATAGGTTTAAGAAAAAAATTATATTATCTATATATATATATATATATATATATATATATATATATACTAGCACTGCCCGCGGCTCCGCCCGCGTTCAGATGACCAAAAACCAAAGTCTTAGGTTTTAGATATTAGTATACTCTTACATTGCACTTTTGTCTTTTTCTCAGAAATGAGATATTTACCCGCGGTAGAAAGTATCCTATATGTTGACCCGGATAACCAGCTATCATCATACCAAATTTCATCAAAATCTCTCTAGTTCTAGTTTGTCTAGTAAATATAATAATGGCAACACTAAAAATGTAGATTAATAATTAATATTTTTAAAATTGTAATAATTATAATAATAACAGCTCAAATTACATAAATTATATTCCATATTTAATTATACAGCTAATTAAAATTATATAAAAATGATTAAAGTTAAAATATTGTAAGGTACTTTGGTCTGTAACAACTATGATGATGATGTTCTCCTAGCCGATTCCGGCCACGGCGGCCAATCTCAATGAGATTAGCCAACTGCGCAGGAGATATTATAGTGCTCAAGTGTACGCGCAGACACAAGTGCACTCTCTATTCCTATCACTCTCATACTCCGGTGGGACGACCACTCGACACGACCGATGAGAGTTAAGGCGCAGGACCGACAGCTTTACGTGCTCTCCGAGACACGGGGGTGAAACACCGCCAACTTCCCAACTCCGGGCTGTTACTGAGACTTACTTTACAGGAATACTCAATAACTAAACTTAGCCCGACCCGGGACTCGAACCCAGGACCTCCGGGTGTGCAGCCGTACATTCTAGCCACTACACCACCGAGGCAGTTACAACTATATAATACCTTAGAGACATCTAACACCTCAGTCTCTCCCGTGACCATGATTGCTGTAAAGCATTCGAAACATCGGGAACCAAAAATCAAAATAAATTCGCGAAAAAATCCGAAAAGATAGTTTTATTTAAAAGATTTTCATGGCATTTAGTACTAGATCTAGATTAGTTTTATGTCTGGGAAAAAGCGTGTTTTCGAGATTTCATGCGGTTTTGTTTAGCATCATTCCACGTAAAATATGGTCCCTAATTCGCACACTAGGACATAAGTATCGTGGTCAAGCGGCCAAAGCGCAAGTTTGTAAACCACAGTTGTCTGGGTTCGTATTCCTATCGGATAAAAAGTTTTTAATTTTCACGGGCCTTAGCAATGGCCATGTTAGTTAAATGGAGTGTTAAATGTGCAATTTTTAGGTTATATTTTACATTATATTTTGACAAATGACACTTGATTACATGACAAATTATTTACATTACGTAAATAATGAATAAACGGGTGCACGTCTTGTATGTCTGACGACTATAATAAGTATTTTTATTCGTTTTAAGTTATAAGAATCAAACGTATCTAAATTAATTGATAATGGTCTGTATTTTAATCTATAGTTTGAGCGTAAAAGACCCGTTCACTCTTAAATATGTACATAAATGTTGTCTACCATACATGCTTATCAGGCTTCTTGGCACAATACAACGAGAAATAAAAAAGATGCTTAGATGTTATAATTTATTTTGTTACTCATCATTATCAGTTTACTATACTAAAATAACAGCACAAAATAAAACAAAGCTGACAGTTTGAGGCGCAATCCATTGCCTTACGATGGAAAGTATTTGTTCATCTTCCAAAAAGTATATCCTTATTATATTACAGCTGTTCATTGATATTCCTTAATTATTACTTAGGTTTCTGATGTCAATATTCAGTCATCATTAAGGCAAAATACAGAACAAGGGTAGTAGATGCAGTGTCCAATGTCCAATGAAATAGGCAGCCAGAAAGCAATCAATATCAGTACCTGGGATGCGACGAGATACAAAAAAATCGAAAAAACGCTTAAAACACACTCATTTCCGTACCAACTACTACGAAAAGCGAATATCTGTATATTGACATTTGTTGACGAAGGAGGTCTTTATTATTTTAGGAGCAAATAATAATTTTGTATTTTAAACTTAACATTTTGTAGTCTGCGTTGAATCAGATTTTAGGTGTTCCGTTTGTTTTTAATTTTTTTCTTAAAATATAATTTAGCTTAAATACTACAAAAATATACGACCAAGTAAGCACACGAAGCTATGATTGACAAATGACTTGAACTACGTTTTTAAAATAATACGTATAAGGCACTATAGACACATACATTTTATGAAATAAATACGGGAATTAAGACGTTAGTAGGAGTTTTATGCAATATCGCAAATTCCATTTTTTCTTCACTTGACCATTACCAATAAAATGAAGACTTTACTAGGATAAGCAAAAAAAAAGGATTTTTTGACACATATTTCATAGTAATTAAATAGGGCCCTAAAATGGGTTTCTCCTTTACAAATATTTTCATTTGAGAATTATTTCGGCCAACAAAATATTACTAATATGTTGCTAATTTATAAAGGCAAAAAGTTTGTTTTATTGATAATAATTTGAATACGGGCGATGCCGCGGGTAATGTAATAAAATCATAGAAAGGCCATATCTGTACATTGAATATTAATACATATGAATTAAAACTGCGTATTTTCAAAACACATGGCGACATCTATTGACGAATATCTAAATAACACCTAAATAAATATTCATTAAAATATCTATTTTAATGAAACAAATAGCGCTATTGATTTTTTTTTCAAGATAAGTTATTTTTATTAGCTTTTGCCATATTTAGGAAGTTACCTTGCTAAAATGTTTATAGTATCATCGTGGTTTTATTCTCACCAATTTTTTATGTTTATTCTCAAAAATGAGTTTTTTTTTCTCGCGGTAAAAGTATCCTATATATTGACCCGGATAACCAGCTCATACCAAATTTCATCAAAACCCTCTAGTCGTTTTCACGTGATGCGGACGGACGGACGGACAGACAGACAGACAGACAGACACACAGACAGACAGACAGACAAAAATTCTAAAAACTATAGATTCGGCCTCTGTATCGATAATAATGTCTATTCCAATAAGATTTTCCAAAAAATATTTCATGTACGGATTCGGCTCAGTTAGAATTTTATTATAATATGTATAGATATTTATTATTAAATAAACAGAATATTATTCTGTATACTGTACTGATAATTTCTTTAAATATTTATTAATATAATAATTACTGACGTCATTCATATACAGGGAATACTTAGCACGTTTTCCAATATATTTTTAAAGTTTACAATAAACAAAATGAATGTTACAGGACTTTACCTTTGTATGCATCAGCGAATAGAAAAATAGCAGCCGCTACAAAATTTCTGATATCCACGTATGATAACGATCACGCATATTTAAAAGGCCATGTCATAAGAGGTGATAATATAAAATTTATAATTGCTTTTTAAACATCTTGATTTGAAACTCGTATTAATAAAAATAAAATATTTTTATTTGTGTAAATAATAATAATATTTCTGCGTAAACAATAAACGTTTTTAATTTTAGAAAAGAACTTGTATCCATTTTCTGGAGCACTCGTTGGAGTTTGGGACACATTGGCAATGGTTTTAGGAGTAGAGAAGAAGCAGTTGTCAGTCAAATTTACTGATATAAATTTCTTTACACAACCGATTCTTCTTAAACAGCGAAACTTGCGTTTAAATATAGCTTTACATAGAGGAAATGGCCGTTTTGAAGTAAGCTTGTCTAATGATTTAAATATCTTTCAATATGTTACGGTTCTTGTGAATAACTTAGTATATTAATTATCTATAATTTTCTTATAATTTAGGTATTAGATGAAAGTACTAAAATCGTAACAGGCTATATAACTGGGGAAATTAAAAAAGACAGTCCACACAATGTTAATTTAAATTGTAAGGAGGAAATGCAACTTAAATCAGATGATATCTATAAACTCTTTTCTATAAGAGATTATAATTATTCGTAAGTAATCTGACAAATTGAAGAAATATTTTAAAATTGTGCAACAGCTTTTTTTTTAATCTTAAATTTACAGGGGTGTATTTCGTAGTATTTACAATGCTAGTTTGTCATTGTCTGAAGCTAATATAAAATGGGAAGACAATTGGGTGGCCATGATTGATAGTATGCTCCAATTAAATGCGCTCAGAAGAATTCATGAAACAGTTTCTCAGCCACACTTTGTGAGAAAAATAGTAATTGACGTAAAGAAGCATTTTGATGAAATGTATGAAATAGATGGAATAAAAGTTACACCTGCGAGGATATTTGATGTTTACGATTATACAAGGTATGATATATTTATGGGTATAGTTATTTCAATCGATTTTCCCATTATTATTATTTTGTCAATATTAATATGATAATATGTATTTGTTTTAGATGCGGTGGTATAATCATGCAAAATATAAGATTTCATGATTTACCAACTATCTGTAAAAATGTTGGAATAAAAGCTTTGAAATTTGTTCCTCACTTTTCTACAAACACAATTGATGTATGTATCTATATAATAATAAAATTTGTTTATATAAACGCAGGTGCATTTGCAATAATAATATTTTAGCGGAGTGTCTATTCGTCCTTTAATAGGATGAATAAAAAATAATAATTCGTCCTTTATAAAATATATAAACTATAAGGAAGGACGTATAGACTAATAAATAAGTAGAATAAGTACCTCGGCTCAGCTCTGTATGCTAAGGTTTTTTTTCCATAGAGAAACTCCTGCACCTAAAAATCACTTTTTACACTAACAAATCGTCCGAATTTAAAAGAATAAGTTTTCAGCTCGGTAGTTTTTTTTTATATAGAAACTCTTACACCTAAAAAACACTTATTTTACATTAGAAAACCAAAAAAGTGGTAAATATTCGTACAAACCGACAATAGTCGCAGGAATAATATATTCCGTTCGATTATCGGACGAATAGCAACAGCCTTATTTATTATTCGTCCTATTAAAGTACGAATAATTAACTTTTATTCGTCCCTATTTTGAGCACAAATAGCAACAGCCATATTATAAATATTATATTATTTTTCAGAAAGCGTCAGCACTCTCTACTTATATACAAATATCTGCTGAAAATTTGAATAAATACAACTTAAATATTGTAGAAATTATTGAAAATAGTGTCTCTGGATTTGTTGATACTAATCAAATCATTTCTGAAATTCCTGGAATAAAGGCAAATTATTCAGTAATTGCAAGGGACAGCCTTAAAACAATTAATACTTCTTCATTGGGTGGAATCGATTTGATGTTAGTGTCAAATCTGTCAAATAATGATGATGTAAGTTATCTTGTAACTTTGGCTCCACCCATAGATTTAGATAATCAAAATTTTTGCAAAAAAATATCTCTTGAGATCCTGAGCCTCTATTATAGCAGGCCTGCAAGAAGGATACAGTTATTGGCCGCACAATCGTTTTGTCTCCTTTCCAAAGTGGAAAATTAAATTAAACTTAGTTATATTTTCATGTGGTCATGTTTTGGAGGCTACTGCTCAGTTTATTGTCTATGTCTGTCTACATTTCTATCTATTCATTTATCATTATACTTGTTATTTTCATAAACTTAATGCCTATTAATTGTTGGTTTTGTACAATTCCATAGTTGTGTCAAATGCTACACCGAGTTCTAACATGCAATACTTTTGTGGTTAACTATGAGAAGTATAAAGCAGAAATCTCTAGGGATCGTCCATCATCCGTGTACCAAAGCATTTGTGCACATACAATAGGGCCTACAGTTCTAGAACTAGTGTTGTGGCGTCCCACTGGATCAAATGTTGGCACTAGTGTTGTAACAGTTAACACAGAATCTGACTTTGCACTGCTCACTTCAAGAATAACAGCAAAACAATTAAATCAAAAGCTTGTGATATTAACGTCATATCCTCCATTAGCTTCTTTAAAAACTGCAGTAAAGAAATGGAGAAAAGAGGATAACCGCAAAATCAATCTACTCATGATCAATAATGAGTTTTCCAGTACCCGGAATCTGGATAAAATACCACTTACTGACTTAGCCTTTAATATTTTGCATAACGTAAGTTTCATTTTTTATTTTTTTGTTTTTGAGTATAATTATTTTTTATTCACTAGATAAATCCCACAAAATAATATATTATCTATACGGCTAAATAAAATTGAAGTGTCTGTTTATAATATAAAAATAAAAGGTTTTTACTAAATGCATATGAAATTATATACGATATTTATACGGAAAACACAATTTATCGAATTTTTGTCTGTCTGTTTGTTTGAGAAAAAAAATTAATTATTTAAGCAATATTATTGTTTTATATGTAACTAGCATTGCCCGCAGCTCCGCCCGCGTTCAGATGATACCAATACATATACCAATTTCATTGCGCACCGCATAATTGGTAAATAATAGTGGTGATTGACAATGTCACAAAGGTTCCTCCGTTAATCTCATATTTGATTAAGGAATATGGCAATAACATTTATAGTATGTCTATCATTCTGTTTTATTTATTTGTTTGGTTTTTCGCGATAAACTCTCAAACTACTAAATTAATTTTAATAATTTATTTCATAATAGACAGCTATTGATTAAATTATACTCGGCAGACTATTTAAATTACATAATAATAATATTTCTTAATGTTAATTTATCGCGAAATAGGGATCAGTTAGCGCTTGTAAGTATTCTTTTCCGAAATGATGTTCAAAAGATGAAATAGTTCCAGAAGCACATCTTCTTCATCCTGCCCATTTCCCAAATTACTTGGGGTCGGCGCAGTACGTCTACCATACTGCTGGTCGGTTTTGGCAAAAGTTTTAGGACTGGCCGCCTGCATGACATCAACCCTCTTTGGGAACGCTGTTGTTTACCAACGTCGTGCAGAAGATTGTCTTCTACGACACTACACACTTGCAATATTTTATCCTAATTTTATTTGCCGCGACGTTTCAATATCCAATTTAGAGTTAATTTTGTTAAATATGTAATCATTCAATTTCATGTCAAACCATAATGTGCACCAAAATTCAGCCATTTTTTCGCTGGCATAGCCAATTGCTTACGTTCCAGAAGCACATAATTAAGGTAAATAAGTAGATAATTGTAAGTAAATGCTTTTTATTATTTCATATAGCTCGACTAATATGATTATAGTCGTAAGTATTTTATTGCGTTCTTTAAGCCTTTTCCACCATTCAAGAAATTGTGTCATAAAATCTGATAAACTTAAGGTATACCAGTTTCTAAAATATTTTTTATCGAAAATTGTCTTGCAGAATATACGTTTCGTAGTTTATAAGATAGGGAATATTTTTAGTTACCCGCTTTGTCTTATAAACTTGTTTTCCATAAAATGTTAAAAAATAGTATGACACAAAATTATTTTTACAGTCGATAAAATTAATCGTGTTGTGGACAGAGACACGTAAATATTATTCGTATTTATTTTAATGTTAACCTAACAAAATACGTAAGTAAGAAAAAAACACAGTATTTTGCTGTACGGAACCTATAATGTGCGAATTGGACTTGCATTAGCCCAATTTTTACTTTACATATCTACAAACATTAACATCATGTAATAAACAATAAAAATTTACAAATATTTTCATTTGAAAATTGTTTTAGCCAACAAAATATTACTAATATTTTACTAATTTATAAAGGTAAAAAGTTTGTTTTATTTATAATAATTTAAACACGGTCAGTGCTGCGGGTAATTTAATAAAATCTTAGAAATTTCATATGTGTGTATTCCATTTTTTGGAATTAAATAACACATAAATAAATATTTTTGGAGTTATTTTAATGAATAAATTTACGCTATTGATATTTTTTTTCAAGATAAGCTATTTTTAATACACACAATCACACAAAAGGTAATTGGTGTTGAAAAATCACAAAAGGTAATTGATGTTTTTGTGATTTATCTAAGGCCTTTGATTGCGTAGAACATGAAACCCTCCTGCTTATTATGGTATTCGTGGCATTGCTCTTGATCTCATTGCCTCATATCTCGGTGTTAGGGTTTAGAAAGCCGCTGTAAATAACATTAATTCTTCTGGATCCCCTTTGAGTATAGGTGTTCCGCAGGGATCTATTTGGGATCCATTTTTGTTTCTAGTTTATATAAATGATCTTACTTTCTATGCTAACGGGTTGTGTGACATTGTGCTGTTTGCGGGTGATACCTCTCTAATTTTTAAAGTTGATAGAAATATAACTAATTATGACGTAGTAAATAGTGCATTATCACATATACTTAAGTGATTTAATATTAATAATTTAGCATTAAACACCAAGAAAACTAAATGTATTCAATTTATTCTTCCTAATGTAAGAAGACAAAAATTTACTTTTCTTTTAAATAATAAGATTCTTAATACTGTAGATTCCACGTTATTCTTGGATATAACATTGGGCTCAGGTCTTCAGTGGAGCCCCGCATCTTTCATCTCTTGAGATTAGACTGAGCTCTACTGTGTTCACTGTTAAGAAAGACAGGCAGCTAACATATGTTTATACTGCTACACTTGTTAATTTTAGCTACTTTTACAGCATCTTGACTTACGGAATTTTGTTGTGGGTAATGCATCGGATACAAAATCTATATTTATTCTCCAAAAAAGGGCTATTCGGGCAATTTGTAACATTGGAGCTCGGGATACCCTATGAGATTTTTTTAAGAAAATTGGTGTACTTGGGGTCGCATCGCAATATATTGTAATATTATGTTTGTCCGACAAAACAAATGAAATAAACACTACAAATAAAATAAACTGGTAACGCCTAGCCTTCAACAAGTGAATAAATCGTTTATAGGGCAAGGTGTACGCATGTATAATAGAATTCCACAATTGATTTTGAACTTACCATTTAAACAATTTAATTTTAAAATTAAATATATATTCGTGAATAAAGCTTATTATATTACGGAATACTTTTCGTAGATGTCAATCAATGTGTGGAACTATTATGTCTGGTTGGATTTCATGTAGGATAAGTAGATAATTATTGTATCAAAATATTGTAAACAATTATTATTTTAAAAGAGCTACTGTTGAGTTTCTCGCTGGCTCTTCTCAGCAGGACTGCCTTCCGAGTAGTAGATTCCTCACGGACTGACTACACTGACATTTTATTTAATTTAAATTCAAATGTAAGATTGACGATTCAAAAGTGCTTATAAAAGTCTATTTGAATAAAGTATATTTTGATTTGATTTGTTAGAATAATATATATCTAATATAAATGATAGAGAAGACTTTATATTCAGACTGTGGAATTAGTAGTGTACGTAAATTATTTTTATTTTTTGACTTAGCGACTTATCCTCGCTTCGCTCGGGTACGTCCCTACGTACATTTAAATTATTTGAGTGGAACCCTAATTCATTTTCTAAAATAAAAGCACTCTAAGTTACTCCTTTTAACATTAGCTATCTGCCAGTGAAAGTTCCGTCAAAATCAGTCCAGCCGTTTCGGAGATTAGCCGGGAAAAACAGACAAACAAACAGACAGACAAACATTTAAAAAAGTGTGTTTTTCTTAGTACCGTATATACATAATTTTATATGCATTTAGTAAAAAGCTGTTATTTTGATATTACAAAGAAACACTTCAATTTAATTTATCTGTATAGATTTCAGAGAAGCTAGTAAAACCATAGATTTTTTTAGCATTATACTCGTAGGATTAAGTCTTGTCGTAATTCTTGTTATGATAGAAATGCAATGCAATTAACAATTGTCAAATAAATTATTTAAGGGCGCGTGGGGTGGAGAATACTACTTACCTGCAAAAGAAACTTCAAGCAAAGAAGGTATTGGATTAGAACTTAATATTAGACATTTAGGTGACCTAGACTCCTTGCATTGGACAGAAGTGTCAGAGCCTAGAGGGGCGGGCATAAATGTAAAGGTAAAATCAAATACACTTTGTTACACAAAAAATATATATCTTATTGCAATGTAAACATTGATCAATATACTTCAGGTTCATTTTGCTGGAGTAAATTTTGTTGAAGTACAGAAAAAAATGGGAGTTATATCATGCGATAAAAAAGACATGCAACTTTTTGATTTTAGTGGAACTACTGATAGGTAAATATTTTTTTATGAATGATAAACCTAGTTTGATTTGACTGGCAGGTACTATTAATTAGCTTTTTGTCGTTTCAATAGCGGAGCTCGTGTAATGGGAATCGCGAATTATGAATATATAAGAACACATGTTAGCGTGAAACCGGAATATGTGTGGCCTGTGCCGGCACACTGGACTATGGAAGATGCAGCTACAGTTCCATTAGCCTACTGTCTCGCTCTTTATTGCTTGGTACCAAATTTCATTAAATATATTTATATCCCATATAATATTAATTTTCAGTGAATTTCGTCTTTAAATTTTATATTTATCCGCAGTGTATTAAGGCAAGACTCAAGCCTGGAATAACAATTTTGGTACATGGAGGCGCTGGTGCTTTTGGCCAGGCAGTTATATCGATTGCTTTGGCATATGGCTGCAAAGTTTTCACTACTGTTAGTGATGTCAACAAAAAGAGATTCCTGCGAAGACTCTTCCCTGAGCTCAAAGGTAGGATTGGTCATTAATGCTCTTTAAAATAAATTTATGAAAATTGTAGAATTCTCTAAATACAATTAATTATGTTCGTATTGCAGAAAGTCACATTGGAAATTCACGAGATACAAGTTTCGGAGATATGGTGCTATACGCTACAAAGGGTGATGGTTGTGATTTAATCGTTAGCTTTGTTAAAGGTGCCCTTAAAGATGTAAGTATATCTGTAATATATTAAAGCGTTATTAGTCTTATAATATACAAAAAACTTTTGATAATAAAGATTTTTGAATATCTGTTTTTGATAACTATAAAATGAACTTGAATGATACTTGCTATACAGGTATAATATATTTACCATAATAATTTGATACAATTTACCATAACACTAAGTGATTTTATTTATAGTTGTTTTGCAAAAAAAAACTTGTATTATTAAGTGAGCAAAGGGACAGAAAATTTTAGTAATTGTAAAAGCAGTGGCAAGAAGTTAGCTTTTTTGTACTAGTTTTTTTTAGATATTCGACCATAATTACCAATGAAAATTTGAAGAGCACATATACCTATGACTAGAATTTACCTATCTTTATATATGGATATTAAAAAACTGTTTTAAGAAAAAAATATTTATAACACAAACTAGTCAATAGATAATAAAAAAAAAAAGAAAATCGGTTGTCAAACACAGGAGAAAAGGGCACTGAACTGTTTTGTCTTTACCCTAGTTATATATAGAAAGAACATATTATAATGCTTCATTACTACAGTATATCTACATAAGTTTACCTTATATCTCCTGAAAAGGATACGGGAATTTAGTAAATACGTTACTGAATACTTCTACTAAAGATTTAATTCAAAGTTTATTTTCTTCTGTTTAGAGCAAGTTTAAAAATGTTAAAATGTTTTTTTTTTATAATTATTTTATTTTCTAGTTAATCGTATTCTTCTCAGTAAACCCTTTCATATGATATCTTTAACATGGAGATGCATAAGAAACATAGTTCTTTGGCAGCCCGCCATATTTTGCCCGCCGGATTTACAATGACTTCGTCACTGCTAATTGTGTTTCGCTCGTCAAGCCCTTTCGTTTGATGCCCATATCCTAAATGGTCATAATGGACAAATGGTCACTATAAATTGAATAAAAAATAGGGGCATTTAAGTAGATAATCGTGCACTATCTCGGGATACCAAAATTATAGTGTGTCAAATTTCAGATCAATCGGACACTGGGAAGTGGGGCAATCTTTGAGAGCTCGCCAATTGGATTTACAATTACGTCACTTTTCTTATCATGTTTCGCTCATGAAAGCCTTTCATTTGATGCTCATATCATAAGGGTCACAATGGAAATGATAAATTGCCATTTTTTAACGCATTTAAGTAATCGCACATTGTATCAGGAACCATCTAGTGTGCCAAATTTCAGCTCAAAGTTGGATCAAATTTAACTTGCAAGTTTCCATTAGACACTGAGACAGGTGAAACTACATAAAAGCTTTTAAATAAATGACAAATTCAATTGATTGTATTTTTTTATTAAAATAATTTCAGACTACGATTCAGTGTTGCAGAAGATCAGGTACTATAATTGATACAACCTTATTATTAACTAAAGAAAAATATGACTTTGGCATGAAAAAATTAGCAAAATCAATATCTTACTCCACCATGAACTTATTTTCAATGTTGGAACATGAAGAAGAAGAGGAAATACAGGTACAAATAAGTAAAGTATAAGTTAGAACTACGAGTATTTTCCTAATAATAAATAATTCAGAATGATGAAATGGTTAAATTCATAATAGGAGTTAAAGTATGAAATTGCCGTTTTATTGTAATAGGTACTTCGAATTGACATAGAACCTTCATAGTTTGAGATATTTGAGTGAAACTTTTTTCACATGGTACCTATCTATCTTCTTTTAAAAAATGTGCAACATTCTATTATCAACTTTCAGTTGTTTTTTTTATTCAGCTTGGACAAAAAAGACATATACCTCGAAAATTCGAGTGATTTTTGAATGCGAGTTCCGACGCGGTACTAACGCGGCAGAAACAACTCCCAATATCAATGTTGCGTTTGGATAGGGGACTGCAAATGCAAACCGTTCGATTTTGGTTTAAACGCTTTCGTGATGGAAACTTTGATTTGAAGAACGAACCACGTGGAAAACTGCCCACACAGGTGAATAACAATGAATTGAAAGAGATGGTGGAAGCCGATCTGAGCCAAACTACCCAGGAATTAGCGGCATGGTTTAAGGTTACCTTACCAACATATTGACTCATTTGCATCATATCAATAAAAATAAAAAAATATGAAAAATGGATGACTCATGATTTGACTGATCTGCAGAAAGAAACTCGTGTTGAAACTTGTGTGTGCCTTGTTGAATCGATACAGAAATGAAGAAATATTGGATCGAATTGGGACATGTGATGAAAAGTGAATTCTTTACGATAACTGTAAACGAAAAATGTAATGGCTGACCCCAGGTCAAACGCCGCAACAGTGTCCCAAAGCAAAGCTTACCAATAAAAAGGTAATGGTAACGGTTTGATGGTCTCAGCATGGTGTTATTCACTATAGCTTTCTCCGATCTGGTCAAGCAATAACGGCAGATGTCTACTGTGCCGAACTCCGAACAATGATAGCAAAACTAGCAGTGAAACAGACTCACGAATCGATCTTCGCCATTGATAACGCGAGACCTCATACAGCACGAGAAGGCGCTTTAACTCTACAGGAAATGCAATTAGAAACTATTCGTCACCCTCCGTATTCGCCAGACCTTGCTCCAACGGACTACCATTTTTTTCGTGATTTGGACTATTTTCTACGTGATAAAAAGTTTTTTTCTCAGGAGGCAGTACAAAATGCTTTCACACAGTTTGTCGAATCTAGATCACCAGAGTTCTATCGCAAATGCATAAATGACCTTCCTATTAGATGGCAGTAATATATAGATAATAATCGTAATTATTTTGATTAAATAAATATGTTAAATTAAAAAAAGCGAATTTCAGTTTTTCAGTACAAATCAGCAATTTCATACTTTAACCCCTATTATTAACCTATAAATAAAATAAATGACTATTAATAATATTATTGTTCACAAAAAAATTCATTTCCGAAGTTTACAGTTTCATCTATCTTATTTCTATACCTAGGATTTAGCAGAAATCAAGAATCGAACATTGTCACTTAATACTTTAAATTATTTTTATAGAAGTTGCATTTAATGCTTACTGAGGGCATTGCCCGTGGATACGTCCGGCCACTGTCTCGTGTGACCTATTCTCCACAAGATGTATCACGTGCATACAGTCTTCAAGCTGGAAGCCGTCATCGTGGACGTGTACTACTCGACTTACAAAAGGATCTGTCTTATGTTCAGACAAAGTAATCTTATTTTTAGTCATCAGTTATACAACTTAAAGTTTAAAAGCGATAACACTCTTAACATTTATAATTTTTTTAGAATAACTTGTTCTACTCAACTACGACAGTTGGTAATATCAGAGAACGAATTGCTGGCGTTAAAATTAGTTGACAGACTAGTGAGCCGTGGGGCTAGAAAGATAATATTAGTTTCTTCGACTGGATCATCTAATTGTCGCTCCCAAAAATTACGGTATTTCGCATAATTATTTACGATATAAATTATATAATTTAATATTCAATATCGTTATTAATTACGAACACCAATTTTCTAGAACTTGGACCAAACAAGGAGTACAAGTACAAGTGATTCCTGGAAAAATGGTTTGTCTAAATAATATTATTAATTTACCAGCTGGAGATAAGTCGTTTGCAGGCATTGAAGGAATATATTACATAGTTTCTGGTAATGCAATAAGTGAGAATAGTTACGAAATGTTGGAGCAGATCAAACTAATACCGCAAAGATTATGCTCAAATTTAAAGTAAGTAATAAATATAATATTACATTTTAACGAAATTAATATTTTTAGAATTTAATTATTTAAATAATTTTATTGTAGATATTTTGCTATTATTAACGATGGAAAAGATGATTTTGAAAGAACAGTCTTATCTAAAGTTGATAATCAATTATTAACCTGGATTAAGCTGCCTGCTTTGCAAATGGTACATAAGGTAAATACATGGTACATTTTTTTTTAGTGTGACTCATCGACTCAGTATTACTCACTAAAACCCAACAAAACCTCCCTCGTTTTAATGGGGCGTCAGAAGATGGCTTACGCACTCAACCACGACGACCCGATGGCAGGTCTGTCGAAGCAAACCATAACAACCATGGGGTTACTCCAACGGTCCACTATGCTATCAGAGAAGTACCAGGAGCAACCCGCATGGTACACCGCGAATCGAAGTGGGCCACCCCCCAGTGCGTTACTTGAGTTCGCTCCCAGCTGAATCATGGCACCACGACAAGGTGAACGCACGTTGGGAAGGAATTTTGCCTTAGTTATCTAACATGTTAATTAAAATGCGATCATTAATAGTGTAGTGCTATTATAAAATCATTATTTTTTTACAGATGAATGAAAAGGAATTTGATGAAGCTATTTCAGCAGTAAATGCCATTGATGCCATTGAAAAAGCAATTTGTCTGAAACAACGTGCTATACTTATACATTCCTTAAAAAAATGTCATGCTGTGTCCCTGGTAAATGAATTAAGTTCAAAAGCAGGTTAGAACCATCAATAACGTTTTATACCAAAACAGTAATTATACTTTTCATACGATATGGTAATTAGCTGATTTTTATAATTGTAATTACATATCTTTTCAGGCATTAGTATACCAGATGATATACCGGAAAGTACTTTTATAGCAGATTTAGATATTGAGCCTGCTAAGTTAGAAATGTTTAGGTCTTATTTACATAATACGTATCACATATTCTTAGATGAGAATAGTTTACCTACCTTAACTATTAAATCGTAAGTGTTTTGTAAGATTATTAAATATATAATATTAATATCAAAATTTTGTATATCCAAATCCTTTTGCCCGACTACGCGAAGCAATGGAGGGTAATCAGTCTATGTATCAATGTATGTTTGCTTCTATGTGGCGTTCCAGGGACCAAACGCGTAAGCCGATTTTGATGACTTCATACGTCTTTCTCAGCTTTACGCGAATATTTGACATTTGAAATAAAACTATCATTTCGGGTTTTTCCGCGGTTTTATGTTGATTTTTGGTTCCCGATGTTTCGAATGCATTACAGCAATCATGATCACGGGAGACACTAAGGTTTTAGATGTCTCAAAGGCATTATATCTTTATATATATAATTCTTCTGTGAGTGTGTATGTCAATGAACTTCTCTCAAACGACTGGACCGATTTGATTGATTTTGATTGGACGAATTTTTTGTGTGTGTTCAAGGGGATCTGGGAATGGTTTAGATTCACAATTTGAATAATAATTTTCATCAAAAAAATTATTAAAAAAAGTGTGAAATTTTCAAATTAAAGACGTGTAGACAGGACAACGTCTGTCGGGTCCGCTAGTACTATTATATAGCATTATATACACCGGAGTATGAGAGTGACAGGAATAGAGAGTGCACTTGAATAGAGAGTACACTTATGCACTATAATGTCTCAATGAGATTGGCTGCCGTGGCCGAAATCGATCAGGAGAATAGAATAAAGCCCATTTTACTATATTTGTGTTATTTTTTATTAGACTTCGTCAATTAGAAGATAAGATTACAGAAAAAGAGTATAAAGAGAGTAAAGGATTCGACACGTTTCTGTCAAATATTGATAATGATGAGCTACTTGCCACAACCGAAATGGTGTTTTTACCGACCCTGATAAACAGTTCATCGATGGTAAGTACCTAAACATTTTTATATCTGCTCAAAATATTTACGTTTACTAAACCAAAAAAATGGACTTTGTATTGACATTTATATTTTATAAGTCTAATTGCCACGAGTGTCCACGTCACAAAATAATGTTTATGGATAATAAAATCAGAAAGAAAACAACATCTAAATAGGACAGAACGTTTGTGATATTGTCTTGTGAATCAGATATCTTCGAAGTCGGTGCCAGCCGACGCATAGGAAATCTAATATATTTTGATACGTAAAAGACATATTTACCTATTATATGGATATTAGATATTCATATCTTAAAATATTGTCCGCTGGCACCGACTTCGAAAATATCTGATTAGGTATCTATTCTAAATGAAACCTCCGTTTAGTTATTTTTTACATTTTAGTCCCTGGAAGTCGGTTTTTTTTTAAGTTTTTATTTTTATATTTTTAGTGTAGACGTAATAAGCAGGTAATTTGTACGAAGAAAGTTTTTAATAACCCATTCGATTAAACAATTTGCTTAAAAAATATATTGTTGATTTTTTTTCTAAACCGCTTGACCGATTTCGATAAAATTTATATGGGACCACCTGGATAGAAGTATACCCTTTCAAACAAAACAAAATTTTTCCAAATAGGTTCAGGCGTCTTCGAGTAATCGGTGAACATACATTAAAAAAAAAAGATTCCGACAAATTGAGAACCTCCTCGTTTTTGGAAGTCAGTTAAAAACAAACTAAAATAGCGGATGCAACCAATATCAGCTTCCTAAGTAAAAAAATTGTACTCTTAACGCTGATCGTATATGATTTTAGCGGGAAGATGAATTCGATGTAAATCAAACGTACTTGTGCGTGGTACCAGGAATAGAAGGTCTTCATTCACGATTCAAAATTCTGTGCGAGCGTCTCAAATTGGGTGCCCTCGTGTTGCAGCCTGGCCTTGTTAGACCTGACGAAACGATTCAAGAAATGGCTGACAGATTTGCAAAGGTTAGTCATTTAATTTCGAAATTTTAGTCAATTCATTTTAGTTAATTCCACTTTTGATACATAATTGTAGACTGAATTAATCAAATCAATATGAAGCACATGGATTACAATATAAGCTTCAGTATTTATGATTTATTTACAGTACAAATTTTACTACTTGAATAAAAGCCTTGATAATATGACTAATTGGCTTACCACGAAAAAATTATATATACACCAGAATCATAATGTCTTTCTTGGTATTCACTATTCACCAAATTCTTAACCGTTATTTACAGACGCTTATCAAAAAGGCACAGTTGAAGGATAGATTTTACTTACTGGGTTATGAAAGTGGTGTTATGGTGGCATTGGAAATGGCGGCAATTTTGGAAGATCAAGGTAAAAAACATCTTGTATTTTGGAGAGCATTGTTCAGAAAAAGTATACTTTAATTTTCTAGTTTATAATATATATATCGATAGAAAAAATAGTATTCTTTATGGAGAACGGTTCCGATGATAAATCACTATACTAATAACAATCTCGTTTCAAGTAACGGTTATGTCTGTAAACTCTAAAGCCTCTTCTAACTATCATGTAAATATTACAGTCATCCACCTATCAACTTGCACACTCCTACATCACCCTGCCTTCGTTAGACAGCTGTATGGATTAGTAGAGTTTAAAAAGTTTACACCCATACATATAAGTTATATTTGTATTAAATTTATAATTTTTCAAATTATTCAGGTATAACTGGCACTGTGTTCTGTATTGGCGGTGCTCCTAATGAAGTGCAAGCGGTAATTGAAAAAAAGCTTGAAGACTACAATACTGAGGAAGAATTACAAAATGCCGTTATACGACATATGTTTAGTTTAGTTACTAAAGAAAATATAATGGATTCAGACAGGGCTCTACAAAAAAGCTCGACGTGGGCGGAAAAGTTGTCGCTAGCCGGACGCATTTTATATGGCCAAGTTATGCACTCAAATGAATATATGAAAGAACTCATAAATGCAGCATATGCAAGAATTGTACAAGCTCGTTGTTATAATGCTGAACCCCGTCAACTTCAGTCTCTTTTAATATCAATCCGGCCTTCATCGACCTGTGATCGGCATTTGAATAATAACCTACTTTCTTTGCAAAACCATTCAGTACGCAAGGTAGTCGAATATCAGTTGGAATCTCCATTTGCTTATGCTGCCTATGACTTGCGTTGCAGTGCGATAGTTAATCATCATCTTGATGAAAACATTCTGGAAGCTTTTGATAAAAGAAATTTATGCGAATCGTACATTACAAACTCTGACTCTATAATGTCACTTGAAGTATATAGCGCCGAATAGAAACAAAATTGATTGATTGATGTTTGTGGATTAATTGAGCTCTATTATTTGATAAATTAAAGCATATCTTAAATGTTTGTTTTTTACAACCTCGCGTCTCCTTTAGTTGATAGAGATATTAGGTGACTCACTGAAACTCGGATCATCTGAAACTGCACCGATCAAATAACACTACTATAATAATTAATTTGGAATGTTTGTATGTGTGTATGTATGTTTGTTACTCTTGTGCTGAAACGGTATATGGATTTGGATGAACATTAGAATACAGATTAACTATGACCTTTTTTTTTAACGTTGGGAAATGCATTTACGCACGAGGTGTGGGACTCACCGGCAAAGCCAGTACCCACTAAAACCCAACAAAGCCTTCCCCCGTCTTAATGGGGCGTCGCAGGATCGCTTACGCATTCAACTACGACGCCCCGATGGCAGGTCTGCCGAAGCGGACCACAACAACCACGGGGTTGCTCCAAGGTTCACTCTGCTATCAGAGAAGTACCAGGAGCAACCCGCATGGTACACCGCCCTCCGAAGAGGGCTACCTTCCACCGCCCACCGAAGTGGGCCACCTTCCTGTGCGTTTCTTGGCTTCGCGCCCGGTTGGGTTGCCGGGCACTACTGAGCCCCCCCACCACGACAAGGTGAACGCACGTTGGGGGGGAGATTAACTATAACCTGGTGCAACATGAAGACGATTGATAATAATAAAATTGTCCCAATAGTGGCACTGTCTAGTGGATAAAAAAATCACCTAGAGACGCAGGCGATCGGAGGTAGGGTAGTCGCTAAATATAAATACTGAATTCGTTGTTCGGGATTTTAAAGAAAGTAGTGTTTAATAAATTATTTTTTTTACATTTGCGCAGATACTGATCTTAAAATCAGCACGTCACAATTCAATTAACTTGATAATTATTATATTTTATTACCTTCTTAACAGTCTGATGGCACGGCTCTATCATTAAGATCAACGTAGCCCCTATATAAATAACCCATACTGTCTGCAAAATACTAAGCCCTGTGTTAAAAATTATTAATTAGAATGGTTATATTAAATAGATCATTATTATGTTTTTGGTGGCTTGGCACCAAAGAGGTACCAAAAATTCAGCAAAAGTATTGTTTTCAAAATTTATTCCATTGAATTCTATAAAATACAAAATACTTACAATAAATTTTTATTCTAACCTGGTTCTTTTACTAAGATATAAATAGCGAGCATGATATCAACTATTTTAAAAATAAATATAAGGAAATTAATAATTCCCTCTTCTTCGTCTATTTCTATCTATCTATGTATGTCTATTTTTAACTAGTCGACATAATGATTTATAGATGTAATAAAGATTTTGTATTGTTATATGTACAGAGTTTCCATTTTTATTACCAAGTGATCCTGAAATATAATGTCATTATATTTGTAATTTAGTTAGAATATGAAATAAAAGATTAAAAAAGTACTACACTTTTCCCTGTACAAAGTGCCCATGTGAGCCCATTTTATTTTACCGAAGTAGTACATAAATCTTTTCAGTGTGGTCATACAATCTAATATTGTGTATTTAAAACGTACTATTTATTTCCGCTTTCAAAATGAGTGATTGTAATCGATCCTGTAGAACATGCACCGTTTCATTCACCAAGTACACAAGGAATACTGATTGCAACTGCAAAAGCACTATGAAGACCCGCGAATTAAAGTAGAATGCAAACACTAACAGAAGATTTACTGGAAATATAAGTAAATTTAGATCACACATGTATAAGTGCAGGTTATAAAAAACACGAATCTAGAAAGAGAAATCTGTAATGGATAAAATTAAAAACCTAAATCACCTACTTACTTTGTTTGGGATAGCCCAATAAAGGTAACGTAGGTGGCACCAATAAAATAGAAGATCAATAAGAAACCCCAAAAAATTGCTTTGGAATATTTTATTTTAATATTTGCGTAGTTGCTATCCATTTTCCAGTTTAGCTGAAAATTAGATAAAGATTTTCCTGAATCTTCTAACTCTTTAACTTAGAGCAAGTTTCTAATCATCAGCTAATTATCCTCTTATGTCTAAAACACACAGTACTATTCTAATATTTAGACGTCTCATGGCAAATATGTAACAGACTATTTCATCAAAAACAAATCAAAAACTTTCCAAACACCTTTAAACCATACACTCGTACTCTAAATGACCAAACTTCATTGATTTAAGTCCTTTATTCATAAACAGGAACATTATTTCACCTAAGGGGTAAATAAATCAGACATAATTTAATGTGTCCCGCTATTTTAATTCAACCCGCCTGTTTTTCAACGTGATGCTTGATATTAATTAACCTTCATTTATACTTTTTCATTATTGATAAATATCAATACTAATAATCTATACTATAATAAAACCTCTACTAGGTTGAATGTCTGTACATAGCAAAAAAATGCTAAAAACCGAGTCAGGGGGATGTAAGAAGACAAATAGAACAAATCCAGATTTTTTTCAAATTTTTTGTTTCTCTGTCTGTTTGTCTGTTTGTACGGGCTAATCTCCGAATCTATTGGACCGATTTAAATGAAATTTTGCATGGTCGTACCTTATATCCCCGGGCAACATCTTAGATACTTTTTATCCCGAAAAATGAAATAGTTCCCGTGGGATAGTTAAAAAACTATAATAACTTATACAACTTATGCACCTAATTTAGTAAACTTTAATATTCTGATACCTTATATTGCCGATCAAACAACAGGTTACTTTTCATCCCGGAAAAATGAATGGTTGCCGTGGGAACTAATAGATCTCCATTAGTGTTTTTCTAATGCTAGTTAAAAATAAAAATATACAAATGTACTTATACAATAACTTATTATAACTATTGTCTAGAACAGACCTTTTATTTTTGTCTGGACTTAAAATCTGATTGATATAAGATTATATTTTATTATTTATATTACTAGCAGCTCACCCTCGCTTCGCTCGGGTTCACCTCTAGGAAAACAATAACAAACCTATCCCACGGGAACCGTACATTTTTCCGAGATAAGGAAAGTAGCCTATGTGTTATTCCAGACTATAATCTATCTCTGTGCCAAATTTCATCCAGATCTGTTCAACCGTTCTGGCGTAAAATAGTAACAAACATCCATACATACTGACAAACTTCCACATAATAATATAATATTACTACGGATAACAATTACCACTAATGTTTATGCTCTTTGGTTAAATTATTATTAAAACATGAAATTAGCGATTTCAAAATTCGTGCCTTTCAAATGGCAAATAAGTTTAGTTTCGAGAACTTAGTAGTTTATCAGAGTATAATGAAATTGACCCCTAGACAATAGAAATTTAGCAAACAAACATTACAATAACAACTAAATTCTCTCCAAGAACGGTGGGTCACCGCGGGGGTAGTAGACCACCACCCTCTAATATATATGTATATTAGCAATATTTAACGTAAAATCAATGGAGGAGGCTTTAGACTGACATATACATACATATCACACACAATTCCTACCTTTTATAAGTGAGCTTTTCGATATAAGTTTTAAAAGTTACTTACTTTAACTATAATTTTTTCTATATTTTTTTATCCCACCTGATGGAGAGCCTTTCGCCCATAACACCTACGGTTCATGCACTTAGGTTTTATGTTACAATAATACAGAACCGCAGGTGCGTTGTCACTGTAAGGACTAAGATGATATGCCTCTTGCCTGTAATTGCTCTGGCTACCTTATCCTTCAAACTGGAACACAACAATGTAATCATTGTTGCATCGCAGAATAAATCGATAAGGGGGGTGGTACCCATCCAGTCGGACTCCTCAGGCTTGACAGAGTCCTACCACCGGTAAAATGTATACGTAAATTTCGTAATTATAATTTAATTTGTTACATTTTTCTGCTATAATGTAAAACCTTATCATTGTTTAAAGTCACTATGTTATGTTACGTCAAGTCAAAATTAAATTAATCATGACATTCATTGAATGTATGTAAGCTTTGTAACTTTGGTTCATTTCTCTCGTCGTCTATGATTACATCGTGGCAAATTATTGCAAAGTTGTGTTTCGATATTCTAGATGGTTGTCAGATCGATGTCGAGACCCCGCTGCTCAATTAAACTATCACAATTATTGTTTCAAGTTTATAACATTGTGATTTCCCTGATTAAATTGTATTGCGCATTGAATACTTTATTTTGTACCCACATTGAACCCTAATATCGCCCACGAGATTCGCAACCACTAACGATGATGTCATTAGAATATTGATACTCCGTTATCAGGAGCGAGATTAAGCGAGGTAGAGATAGATAGCGACCATTTGAAAATGTTGATGTGACTTTTTTTCCAATTATAAAGCGAAATGCCATAATGTCAATTATTGTCATTAAAATAAACGCACAAAATAGCGAAGTACTTGCGTGTACAAAAGACTTATTTTTTTAAATTTATTTTACACTAGGAGGACTCTGCTTTGGCCAGTAATTTCCTGACATGATATATTATACGAGACGCTCAAATGATTGACATCATCATAGATGGCTCCATTTAGTTTTTGTTAGTAACATATCTTCGAGTCGAGTAAAATATGACTTTGTCATAATTTAAGAATATGAGAAATATTCAACTTTATTTATTCATAGTGATACTTAGAAGCTAATGTCGGTTTGCACTCAGAATACCTTCTTCTCGAAGAGTATTCGTATACACGCGATGAGATAGAAATCTTTGATCTCTCACAGAGGGCCTACGAGTCATGTAACCACTAACGATGATGTCATGTCGGTAAAATATTGATAACCCGTCAGATATGTATGTATAAACGTCGCAACGTAAAAGTCGTAGACAAGATTTGATTGAGATCTTCTTGCAATAGTTTTGTGTCAGAAACAAAGTAAACCGTTCTAAAGAGTTTTTAAGGATTTTACAAACCCATGCTGTTCCAGTGTAATAAGCTGTTTAAAATGCCAAGAAATAATAGAACAAATAAGCAACTCAAAAACTTTCGCAAAAACCGATAGTATGAAAATAGGTCTATAATTCTTGGCTTCATCTCTATCCCCGCTTTTGAATAAAGGTAAAACTAAAGCTTCTTTCCAGATTTTTGGATATGTACTAGTGCTAAGTGATTTATTAATAATTATTGTAATTGGTAGGGCCAATTCGCTTGCACAATTGCGAACAAAAATTGATGGAATACCGTCAGCTCCAGCACCTTTAGCAGGGTCAAGTCTCTTTAAAACATTATAAACCTGATTTTTTGTAACGGATATGGTGGTAAGAGATATGTTGATAAGAGATGTTATTATTCGAGGTTACTAGCTCTTGTGTGCGAGTCATTGTTGTTAAAATATTGCTATTATTATAAACAGATAAAAATGATTAGCAAAAGTATTACAGATATCTATTCCGTTGGAAGCAATGTTATTATTGTGTTTAATTCGTGAAGGATATGAACTTTTACCTTTCTTTTGTTTTAAGTACGTCCATATTTATTTAGGGTTCGATCTTAGAGATATCTCAAGCCTTTCTAAATATTTAGCATAGGATGTATATAACAACTTATTACATCTTCTTTTTAATAAATCAAAAGTAAGTTGATCGCGAGGATTGTTAAATTTGCGTATTTTTAATCTATATTTATATTTTTCTTTTATACTCTTAATAAGACAAGGTGTAAGCCAAACTGGATAACAACGGCTGCGAGGTTGCGTATCAGGTACATATTTTCTTATCAATGTACGAATCTGATCATAAAATATTTTGGTCATGTCATCCACGGTAGGGCACTTGCTTAGGATTTCCTTCCAATTAATTTCCGTCAGACCTTTTCTTACATTTTCGTAATCAGCCTTGTAAAAACAAAATTTTGTAATATTTTTGTTAGAAGTAGAATAGATTCTAATTCCATGAAATCTAATAAAAAGTTTAATGGTGGATGAAGCGGGTCAACACATGTCAAAGTGTCAGAACATAAAAGAATATCATTAATTTTGCGATTACATAAGAGTAGGTGAAGAATTTTATTTTCATTATTTACAATATGATTAAATTGGTTTAATTCATTACTAGACAGAAAGTCCGTTAACATTAACATTGACACCCGTTAACATTGAAAATAACTATTGGAATATTCTGCAAAAAGATTACCATTTTGTTCTAAAGACCACGTAATACTGCTTAAGTTAAAATCGCCAGCTATTAGTATGTGGCCATCAATCGACTCTAATACACGGTTGGAGTTATCTACGAAATGCTTCAGTATGTGCTTTTGAACAGGCGGGGGTATATAAACAGCACATATAAAGACGTTTTCAGACTTTCCTTGAGCAACGTTCACCTCGACGTTGACCCAAAGATCCTCGCATTCAGACTCAAAGTTATAAAGTCGTCTAGAGTTAAATTGCTTAGATACGGCTATCAGCACACCGCCGCCATTCTTGGAAGCATGAAATTCGCTGCTCTCCCGATCACGTCTATAAACAATGTACCTGTCATCAAAAACTTCGGAATCGAAAACGCTCTCATTTAGCCAAGTCTCCGTCATTATTAAAATATCGTACGAACTACATATTACATTATTAAATAAATCAATCGTTTTGGTTCTTAAACCTCTAACATTTTGATAGTAAACAGAAATATTATTTAACATGCCTTTTAGTCAAAAATATAAACAAATTTAGCGTTATTCTATGATAAATTACTAATTGTCTCTTGATTTCGTATGTGCACATAGTTTGATCCTTCACTTTTCCTGACAAAAATTTTACCATCACGAACCCAAACAAATCTAAAACCTAATTCCTTTGCTTTACGGCGGGCAGCTGCGTGAAGAACTTTTCCTTCTGGCTTGAGGTTTTCTGCGAAATATATTGGGGTTTTCTTAGTGCTTGCGATACCCAGATGGCTACTACTGAGTTTATCGGTTGGGTTCTTTTGGTTAAATTTTATCGTAGCCGCTAAAAATTCATCACGCAACCTAGGACTACTAAATTTTATCAATATGGATCTTGGTCGTGGACTTTTAGAATTCATCTTCGCTAAGCATGCGCAAAAGTGAATGTTGTCCTCGCTCACTGGGCAGCTTATTATTTTGCCTAATTGTTGTACCGTGTTAATTAAGTTTTCTTGCTTATTTTCGGGAACACATTGGATCTCAATATTGGAAGCTCGTGTCTGCTGTTCTAATTGCATTAGACGGGTTATAATGGTCTGGTTAGCTGTGTGTAATAGTTCGTTTTCTTTAACTATTTCTTGTACTTGTGTTGAGTGAGTAGCGTGGTCAGTTTGAACTTTTCTAACTTAGTATTGAGTGATGTTAAAGATAATTCTAGTGAAACAAGTGTATTTTGTATTTTTTGTATTTTAGGGTACAGGTCGTTAGTTAAAATGTTGCTTAACTCCTCTCTTAATATTTCGCGTATACTATCAGCTGATAAACATGAGCAAGTGGGACGGCTTTTAACGCGCTGAGTGACGAAGTCCATTTCTACCGGTGAGCTGCGTACTGGAGTATTAGCATGATCGCCTTTCCTTGGTTGCTTACATTTGCAAACGTCACAAATCCAAAGACTTTTCATGTTAGAACTCATCATAGAATAGTCCGGTTTTGAAATTCGTGTACATATAACATGATATTTGTCTTTACAATTGTGGCATTGCAAGGCTAAAGTGTCATCCAAAGTGTTAGGGCAACCAGCACATATAAAATTGGCCATTTTTTTTTCTTTTAACGTTGGGAAACGCATTTACGCACGAGGTGTGGGACTTACCGGCATAGGCAGTACTACCCACTAAAACCCAACAAAGCCTTCCTCCGTCTTAATGGGGCGTCGCAGGATTGCTTACGCATTCAACTACGACGTCCCGACGGCAGGTCTGCTGAAGCAGACCACAACAACCACGGGGTTGCTCCAAGGTCCACTCTGCTATCAAATTTAATTGGCCATTAAAATTTATTGGCCATTTAAAATTGGCCATGTTTATTCAATTAAAAATATATATATATAGGTCTTACACGGATTTGAACCCAGAAGTATCAGTTAAGAAGTAAATAGTTCAACTGTTTAACGGAAGCGCCACTATAGTCGTTGACTATCAAAGCGAATTAAAGATACCGTACTATCAGTGGCTGATTCGTACCGTGCCAGAGGCTAATGACACCAGTATTTTTTATAACTGACCATTTACCCATAATTTTGTTGCTAAACGCTAAACAAAGCATTGTTGATAAGCGATCCAATAATAAAATCTTACGATATAATTATCCTGCTATTAAAAAGGACATAGAAACGACGGATTTCAGGCCTATTTTGTTAGAAATGAATCCTAATATAGCCGCAGATCTACTTATTGATACTATCCAAACAGTTATAGGTAAGCATACTCAAATTTTACGTATAAACAACAAAACTCGAGTTATAAAGCCCTGGATGACCAAAGGATTAGTAAGATGCATACGAAACCGAGACAAAATGCACAAACGTGTTAAAAGAAACCCTGAAAATTCTATACTCATAACAGCCTATAAGCGATATCGAAATTTCCTTAATAATCTACTAAAAAAATTGAAAAGAACACATGACCAAATAGAGTTACAGAAATCCAAATATAGCCGTAAGGCTACTTGGAATGTCGTTAAGACAATTGCAAATTGTAGTCCACATTCTAGGGCCCCTATTGAACTTCTTCAACTAACACCTGAGCCTAAAACATCGATTAATAAGGTCAACAGTTATTTTGTCAATGTAGGAAAACTACTAGCAAGTCAAGTCTCGCAACAAGCCAAAGCCAATCTAAGTAACGATATGGCACTTGGATATTCTTGCCATTCCCTTGGTTTATTGCCAGTGAATGTTAATGACATTGAACAAATTATTGGCTCCCTGCGCAGTGACTGTGCTACTGGTTATGATAATATTCCCGCTAAAATAATAAAGCAATCATGTTCGTCATTAGCAATTCCTCTTAAACACATTTGCAATCGTGCCATTGAGACTGGAACTTTTCCAAGCTCCTTCAAGAAAGCTGTCGTACAACCAATTTTTAAGAGTGGGGATAGATTTGATATTGCGAATTACCGACCAATTTCAATTCTAAGCTCTCTTTCTAAAGTTCTTGAAAGAATACTAAATAATAGCCTCGTTGCTTATCTCACAAAATATAACATTATTGCTACTAACCAATATGGGTTCAGGGCGGGTATATCGACGGAAGATGCTGTCATTGATGTTACTAAAACTATCGTCGATAAACTAGACCGAAAACAAAAATGTTATGGCATATTTCTCGATTTAACTAAGGCCTTTGACACTGTCTCTATCCCTTTATTAATATCAAAGATGGAAAGGGTCGGAATTCGAGGAATCGCATTGAAAATCTTTAGCGATTATCTCACAAATCGTACCCAATGGGTGAAAATTGATAACACAATCAGTGACGACCAAACAATCCGCTTCGGTGTACCTCAAGGTAGCATTCTTGGCCCGACGCTGTTCTTAATATATATTAACGATTTATGCCAACTGCAAATTCCAAAGTGTGATATATTTACATATGCTGATGACACTGCTCTCATTGTTTATGACTCAAACTGGAATGAAGCAAAATTAAGAACAGAACAGGCGCTGCGCCAAGTAATGGAATGGCTTTCTAACAATTTATTAACCCTAAATTTAACTAAGACGAAACTCATCCGCTTTACTTTGCCTAGCAATTACGGGCCGCCTCAAGAATCTGGACTTATTAAAGCTCACACTTGCTTAGGAAACAAAATAAACTGTTGCTGTCCATCCTTGCAATTGGTGCCGGATACTAATTATCTAGGTATTCGTATTGACGCTAAGCTGAACTGGCAAAAACATATTGAAACTCTGTGTTCAAGACTAAGGAAATTAATATATATTTTTAAGGAACTGAGACATTCAACCGATGCTGAAACTTCTAAGCTCGTGTATAAGTGTTTATGCCAGTCTTTAATAATATACTGCATCCCAGCTTGGGGTGGAACTCATAAAACTTCCATGCTGGCATTAGAAAGAGCGCAAAGGGCTATTCTAAAAGTCTTGTACTTTAAGAAAAGAGATTTCTCTACTGCTCAACTATATCTTGAAACCCAAGTGTTAACAGTTAGACAGCTGTACATTCTTCGCTGTATATTGCGAAGACACAGCGCGACACCAGTCGATGAAACAAAATTAAGAAGGCGCCAAGGTTTACCTGTATCCGAACCTGTTCTATGTAATACTGCCCTAGCTCGTCGTCAGTTTGTTGCAGCAAGCACTATGTTATATAATAAATTAAATAAAATAATATTCATATATTCTTCTTCCAAATTTAGTGTCAAAATAAAAGTGTCTAAATGGTTGCAAAAGTTATCGTATGAAGAGACTGAGCTCTTTTTAACAATTCCGTCATAATATCTTGTATATATATATATGTATATATATATGTATATATATATATATATATATATGTATATATATATATATATATATATATTTTAATGTATAAATAAAGTCTTCTTCTTTTATCCAAATATGATGCATATTTATAATATAAGTTGTTGATATTGTTGAAGCACTCGCATGACATATAAATAGTTGTAAATTCAATTGTGAAAGCGGAACGACTATCACCTAAAATACAGGCTCTGGCTTAGTTTAGGAGATAGTAGTTTAACTTATTTTTTGACACTTTTTGTACAACTTGCTTTACTTACTTTAACCCCTTATATTGTCACTTTATATATAGTACAATAAATAAATTATTATTATTATTATTATTATTATTATTATATGAAGCTCATTAGCACTCGCGCACTTAGCTCACTTAACGAAGTTAATAACGACTGTTAAATACAGTGATTATAAAGTTTTTGCTAAATATCTTCAGTATTAAGACTTGGATCGATGCACAATTTTACACATAAGTAGTGTCATAAAAACTAAACACAGTAGTTTCATAGGATTCAACACTATATAACGAAGAGAATCATTTGTAATGAATTTTAAAACTTAAAGACATGAGAATACGTGTTCACTACTTGACGAACGTCGACGAGTTTTCCACCCTTAGGGGTGGTATTTTTTTTTTATTTAAATGGGACTAATCTGGAAGTATACACTTTCAAAAAACACAAAAATTGTCCAAGTCGGTTAATAAATGACGGAGTTATGAGGTAACAAAGATAAAAAAAAAATACAGTCGAATTGAGAACCTCCTCCTTTTTGAAGTCGGTTGAAAATTGCATTTGCGCATTACCATTCTCGCAGGAAATTTTATTGTGTCCAAGTATGCGCGCAAAGACAAGTGCACTCTCTTTTCCTTTCACTTTCAAATTCCGGTGGAACGACAAATCGACACGATTAGTTCAAAGCCGATGCTTTGGATGGATTGGATTTTCGTGCTTCCGAAGCATAGGAATTGTAACACCGCCAACTTGCCAATCCCCGGCTATTACTCAAAAGCTATTACATACATTAAAAGAGTAAAAACTCTATTGAATCAATCACAGTGTAAAAAAGCCCAACATTATTTTACCCTTTATTAGGAAGCAGCGTTGACCTTTTGGTTGGTTGACCAACCTTTATGGTTTGGATTTGCTACAAAACTGAGCTATTGGATGAATTTACCGTCCATCCGTTTTCTCAACAGTTTCATAGGCGGACGGCCTCCCACTAGATGGGCACCCACAAAGCAGCATAATGCATCGGGCACAATATCGGCGTGGTCGACTAAGGATATCGAGAGGTGTGCACCGCAACCAATGAAGGAAAGCAAAAGGTGGAGCACAGATGTTGTTTGGAGGTCACAGGTCCTTGGTATCGCCACTAGCCAACAGCTCATTTATTATTATTAAAATACCAGCATAATTCCTTTAAGTGGGTTATAAGTAACCATTCTACGTGAGTTACGTTAATAACTTATTTATCTTACATGTTTATATTTGCAAAATATTCCCCATTATAAATATTGGGACCTTGATAAAGAGATATGTTTCCAGCTTAAAAAAGATCACCAGTATATTTTTGATTCTAAGCATATTTTTTACTAACGTAATAGTTCTACTCTTATCAATCATGCAGGTGAAATAGTGATAAGTAGCTCATAGCTACGTTTTATTATTTGATTAGGATCACGTATATAAAGATATTAATTTCCTTTGTATGATTATTATTGAAAAGTTTAATTAACAAAGTAGACTTTAAATGATGACGGTAAAAACGATATTAATTTTATGTTTTCTAAACGTGATGTGTGTACAATCTGCAAAAATATTAGGAGTGTTTCCTATGCCATCTATTAGTCACCAAGTGGTTTTTCGTAAACTTACTCAAGAACTCGCCAAAAGAGGTCATAATCTAACTGTGATAACGACTGATCCAGCTTATCCTAAAGGAGCGACACCCGCAAATTATAAAGAAATAGATGTACGAAATACATCTTATCAAACGTTACAGAAAGCCTTCCAAGCCAATTATAAAATTGAACATGGCCTACCAAGTATCTCAAATATGCAAATACGTTCTTCAGCAATATTATCTGTATTAGAAGCTCAGTTACAAACTGCAGAAGTTCAGGAATTATTAACCAAGGATAAAGACAACTTTGATTTAATTTTTGCAGAAGCTATTATGCTTCCATCTGTAGCTTTTTCACATAAGTTCAATGCACCAGTGATACTAATCAGTTCTATGGGAGCTTATTTTTACACTCATGATATAGTAGGATCATTATCACACCCATTTCTTTACCCAACCTTTACGCATAAAAGAATTTACAACTTAAGCATTTGGGAAAAAATTGTTCATTTATATAATGAGTTTTGCTATAAATACGTTGTATATTTAAATGAAGACAATGAAAATAAAATGCTGCAAAAATATTTTGGACCAGATATTCCTCCATTAAGTGAATTGTACGACAATATCCAGATGGTGTTTATAAATTTTAACCCCATTTGGGCTGATAACCAGCCAGTGCCGCCAAGTGTCGTTTACATGGGTGGTATTCACCAGATCCCAGAAAAGGACTTACCAAAGGTACAGTATAACATAATGATAAACTTTGAACCCTAAGAAACTTTTTGCAAAAGACTAATCTTCTGTAGAATACAGTAAAAACGAAGACAAAAAGTAACTTATGTCTCTCTCCAACTCTTAAACTATTTCTATGCAAAAATGACCTCAATCTGTTGTTCTGTTACTGCTTACCAAGAGAAACCAAGAGGCGACTTTTATATTTATAATATTATTAAAATAATAAGAATTCATGGGTAAAAATTCATGGATTAGGAATCAAAATATATTGTATATCTATGTAACTATATCATTTATCTATGTAACTTATGAGTAATAAATTAATTTTTAATTTTAGAATCTCAAGACTTACTTAGATTCTTTGGAGAAAGGCGTTATATATGTAAGCTTTGGGACAAATATTTTGCCAAAAATGTTGCCTTCTGATAAATTAGATATTATGGTAAAAGTTCTTTCTAATCTTCCTTATGATGTTTTATGGAAATGGAATGATGATGAACTTCCAGGAAAGGCAGATAATATAAAAATTTCTAAATGGTATCCACAATCGGATTTATTAAGTAAGTACATTTCGTTAACATTTTTTCAAACTCTCTAAGTGAAACTGGTGGTCCTAGGCCAAATATTTAAGTTCAAACCCTATGATTGTTTATGAGTTTAATATTTAAAAAATGGTATATTTTCAAATAATACAAAATATATAATATGTAAATGTCCAATATATATATTATCTTGAATTTTCGTTACAGGACACCCGAAGGTTAAATTATTCATCACACAAGCTGGTCTTCAATCAACTGATGAAGCAATATCTGCTGGCGTGCCACTAGTGGCAGTTCCAATGCTAGGCGATCAGTGGTACAATGCAGAAAAATACGTTAGACACGGAATAGGGACTAAATTGGACATAAAACATTTAACTGAAGATGAATTTAGAAGTGCTATCGAGACAGTTATTAATGACAAAAGGTATAATAATGTTAAGAAATATCGAATAATAGAGAGTAAGAAGTATACATGTAATATAATTACGTATTGAGTCTCAGTTAATTTCAAATTTTGTCGTTTTTAAGATCTCAGTGTGCATTTTTACTATGTCATATTTTACAGTAGTAGTAGTAGCAACAAAAGACAGTAAATATATAAAAAATTATAAACGTAAAAAAATCAATAACGTTCTAAGCACGCTAAATAATAATTCGAAGTTACTTTTTTTATAACACACTGCACAATCTATTTCGCTTGGTACGCTACGAGGCTTGCGTTATGGATACCAGACAGATGATACACCACACATATATAACTTTAAATACATACATATTATAAATATAAACACCTATGACTGCGGTACAAACATTCGTGCTTATCACACAAATGAATGCCCCCAGCGGGACTCGAACCCGCGATCGCTAGCACAGCAAGTAGCGTCACTACAAACTGAGCCAAATGTGTCGTCATTAGCGATGGATCGTCGACGTATTTAGCGTGAACGAAACTAGACCGTTCATTTTCTCTCGACGACTAGTCGATCGACTAGTTCAAATCGTGGACTGTGGTTCACGTACGCTTCAATGTAGTTGTAGACGCTAGACAGTATATAGTTACTAGTTTACGTTGCGAGACGGACTGTCTTAGTCTATGAATTGAACTAGTTCATTTGAAATACGTGAACCGTCGAACCGTCGACGCATCGTCGACCGGTTGATTGAAATATTTCGTTCATTCAACGCCCATCGCTAGTCATCATACCACATTGTACATAGAAATAAAATAATTTTATCATTAACTAATTTCTTTCAGCCTTTTCTTAATTTATCTTATCTTTTTAATTATTTCTTATCTAATTTTATTTTACTGTAAGATTTTGATTTTCAGGTACCGTGAAAACATAGTGCAACTTCGAAAGATAATGCATGATCAGCCAGAGTCTCCTCTAGACCGTGCAGTGTGGTGGTCTGAGTATGTCATAAGGAACAAAGGCGCCAAACAACTGAGAGCGCGTGGTGCGAACATATCGTATTATGAATACTTGGAAGTTGAACTTGTGCTAATTATCTTAATACTAGTACTTCTAGCTGTAGTCTTATCTATAGCAAGCATTAGTTATATATGTAGATTTATATTAAGTTTATTTAAAAGCAAAAACAAAATCAAATTAAACTAGGCGAATTTGTCAAATAAATAATTAGCGTAGCGTGTGTTCAGGTTCAGAGAAGACTTGTTGTACGTAGTACTTACAGATTAATTTTAATATACGAGTAGATATTAAAGATATGATGATAACAGTAGCCTATGTCCCCTCCGACGTGTGTTCACCTTGTCATGTGGTGGAGGGGGGGCTCATTTGACTCTGGCAACCCAGCCGGACGCGAAGCCAAGAGACACATAGGAAGATTCACCTTGTCGCTTTGGGGGAGGAGAGGGAGGGGCTTATTAACGTCCGGCAATCCAGCCAAGTGTAAATCAAAGCCAAAGAAACACACTGGGAGGTGGCTCACTTCAGTGGGTAGTGTTGTTTGTGGTTAGTTTGCTTAAGATGCAGGAGATTTCGTTGGGCTTGAGTGGGTTGTACTGGCTTTTTGGCCAGTGAACCCTACGTATTCTTATATCCTACCTGTATGTATGCAGATAATAATATGAGTTGCATTTTGCAACGTTAAAATAAACGTCATAGTCTGTATACTAAATTTCAAATAACGCACCTACATAGTACATGCACACAAACTTTCGCAAGTATAGTAGAAGTCAGATAACACAATCTTCTTATTATCTTCTTATCATTTTTGAATATTTCCTTATTGTAGATAATTTCATTCGAGGACAATTATAATCCTGTATCGATGATCGATTATCGTTTAAGGTGTGATTGATGATCACGCCTTAAATCAATGGCACGATCATGTTCTTAGATTATTCGATTATTTGAAACCTCCAATTCCACAATGAATTTATTTTAACTAACAATCAAGAATGACTAAGTTTTTTGTATATGTTCCTATGAATGAAATATTGAGGTCTTATATGGGTATAAACTTTTTAAATCTTTTCGGACTTTACGCGAATTTATTTTGATTTTTGGTTCCCGACGTTTCGAATGCTTTACAGCAATCAAGGTCACAGAAGAGACTAAGGTGTTAGATGTCTCAAAGTATAGTTGTTACAGACAGCCTACTCACAAATAACAAAATGAATTCAAAAAAATTGAAAACTGGCACCAAAGTACCTTACAATATTTTTAATTTTAAACATTTTTATAAATTAGCTTTATAATTGGATATGGAATATTATTTATTTTAGCTGTAAATTTTTTAATTATTACAATTTTTTAGAAAAATAATTATTAGTAATCTATATTTAGTGTCGCCATTATTATATTTATAACCATAAAGAAAAATAAAATATTAATTATTTAAGCCACCAGCCACCAGGTATAAACTTTTACGGTCTTTAAGTCGTTAGCTTGAAATTTTAAAAATAATTTAAACAATCTATTCTTTCTATAATAATAATAACAAAAATGGTCAAAACTACGACTGAAGACTACTGTAGGGATAATAGACACTCCTCCCATTAAAATCAAAAAAGGAATATTCCAAGGAGACTCTCTTAGTCCTCTGTGGTTTTGTCTGGCATTGAATCCATTATCAAGCTTACTTAATAGTAGTAATGTCGGTTACTCTTTAAAATATACCAATAATAAATCAAATCAGCTAATTATGTATCACTTAAATCACTTAATGTATATGGACGATATTCCCCCCCAACGTGCGTTCACCTTGTCGTGGTGGGGGTCTCAGTAGTGCCCGGCAATCCAACCGAGCGCGAAGCTAAGAAACGCACAGGGAGGTTGCCCACTTCGGTGGGCGGTGGGAGGTGGCCCTCTTCGGGGGGCGGTGTACCTTGCGGGTTGCTCCTAGTACTTCTCTGATAGCAGAGTGGACCTTGGAGCAACCCCATGGATGTGGTGGTCTACTTCGGCAGACCTGCCGTCGGGGCGTCGTAGTTGAATGCGTAAGCGATCCTGCGACGCCCCATTAAGACGGGGGAAGGTTTTGTTGGGTTTTAGTGGGTAGTACTGGCTGTATTACGCCAGTGAGTCCCACACGTCGTGCGTAAACGCATTTCCCAACGTTAAAAAAAATATATAGACGATATTAAGCTGTATGCATCATCACTAGATGACCTACATAAATTAGCTAAGATAACCGTTTTTTTTTCTAAAGACATTCATATGACATTGGAATAGATAAATGTTGAATTATTTCACTCAACGCCAGACAAAAACAAGAGCTTAATTATCTTTTAGAAAATAGTCAACTGATACATTCATTACAACAGGACGAAGTATACAGATACTTAGGTTACAATCAGTCAAACGAAATAAAATCTAAAGAAGTTAAAGCTAAACTAATTCAAAACTTTAAGCATAGATTAAACATTTTACTGCGATCACAGTTATACTCCCGTAATCGCATCAAAGCAATAAACACTTACGCCATACCATGAACGAATTAACCACTGGACCAGACATAAGCGGACGTATCTTTAACGGTCATGTCAGTAACCAGGGAATTTTAGCCTAGGTCGTATGTTTTTTTTGTCAGTCTCAAGCACTTACTTGTCAACAAAACATCTCCCAAAAATGACTAAATGTTCTGTTAAATGGTGTAAAAACTATAACGGCGGAAGCAGCACTATTTCTTTTCACTTGTAAATACATTATTTTATTACATATATTGTTATTTATCACAAAATTTAATTAAATGTAAAATAAAATGTCATAATATCCAACTATGTTAAATATAGTCGATATTTCTATGTATTGTTGACATCTGACAACCATCATAAAATGGCTGGATTATACCCTTCAGAACAAATGACGAAACTGTCGAGTGAGTCCATTTGACATCGACTAGTGCTTAACAATGTCGAAAAATATATCGATATTTGACGAAATAACTGAACGAATTGTGTTATTTGTACAGTACAATAACATAAAATACTTTTATCACAGTATCCTACAATCTGATGACAACAAATTTATAAAAATATTTTGTAAATCACATAAAAATATAAATGCAAAAATTATAATTAGTGTTTATGTGTACTTAATTTTTTATTTTATTTAATACCACATTTATATACTTTTGAATATTATTCCATTGTAATAATAATAAAGATCATTTTATTTCAACACATAAATTACACAAAATTAAACAATAATGGGCTACAGTTTAGAATAGGGGACATTACCCCTGGCGGAGTGGGTGATATTTCTGGATAGGGCACGTGATAGGGAGTCGAAATGTTAAATAAAAAATTTTCCGGAAACGTACGAGTAAAAAGTTATTGAGACTTAAAGTTACAACATTTCCATACATTATTTTGACATTACTACCATTTAGACACTTGGAAATGTCAAAACGTCACTTTCAATTGATCTCCAGATGATTGTCTTTATTTGTACTTTGCGTGAAATTCGAATTTTCTAGTTTTCTAGTTATTTATGGACTACTGGCAACTGTTCTAATTTTTTTTTTTAACGTTGGGAAATGCATTTACGCACGAAGTGTGGGACTCACCGGCGAAGCCAGTACTACCCACTAAAACCCAACAAAACCTTCCCCCGTCTTAATGGGGCGTCGCAGGATCGCTTACGCATTCAACTACGACGCCCCGACAACTGTTCTAACCAAACCTAACCAAGATATGACGAATAATAAATAAATAATGTATTTATGAAGTGAAAATAATATTTTCCTTTTTATTTATTTATTAATATTACCAACAGAAAAAGCAAAAATAATCAAGTATAATCTGTTGTCATTTAAGCGGTAATATAAAACAAAGTGACAGTTTTGCTTTTGTCAAAATGTAAGATCATTTTGTTTGTGTTGTGAAATTATTAAAATATTAAACACAATAAAGCATTAATTGTTGTGAAAATATGTATTGTACATAAAAAAGGATGCGTACTATTCGTTAAAGGTATGTTTATCTGTTGTAATCACTTATTTAGGTAAAGAAATGTATGGAAATGTGTTAGATATGTTATAACTTTAAGTCTCAATAACTTTTTACTCGTACGTTTCCGGAAATTTTTTTATGTAACATTTCGACTCCCTATCACGTCTCCTATCCAGAAATACCACCCACTCCACCAAGGGCAATGTCCCCTATTCTAAACTTGTGCCCAATAATGTTTTAGCACTAAACTTCTGTGTTGGCGATTTGTAATAAAACACTTTACCACTTGCACTAATTAATCACTTTTTCTTTTTCCTAATTTCACAAATGTTTATTAAGAACTGAGCAATATGACACTGTCCTACAGTGTCATATTTTTATAACTACCCGAGACAATCAATTGCCAATTAAAATAGTTCAATAACAGAATAAACAAAATCACTTTATTTAATTAAATTAGCTTAATATTTTTTTAATCCTTACAAAATAATATTTATTATATATTAATGGAATATACACCCGATATTCATTTGTTCATTAACATTATTATAGGCCAACAGAATATTGCCATCAATGCCATCGTATTTATATAAATCAAATTAAAAAATAATTATTATTGGACACATTATTATTGCCTCTTTATTTCATTTATTTTAATTTATTATAATAAATACAGATATTTTATTTTAAAAGATGTAAAATATAATGACTATGCTTACAAATGTCTAAAATGTCATTCATTGGTTCATCGATATATGTATTTTATCGATTACGTTCAAGCACTAGAAATATTGTATTGTGTATCAGTGTTTATAATAATGTAATAAAATCTTTGTGTGCGTTATGCGTCACTTGGTTGAACTAGTTTTCATGCATTTGTATTTTATGTCACGTCGAGTCTCTAATTCGTCCATGCGCCATACCTATCCTTACATTCTCTTTTGGTACCATCAAGTGGTCAAAAGCCTAACTTAAAAATATCCAACGCATAATAAACACTAGCATGACGAAATGTAGAAAACAGCACCCTCGAGCCTGTGTTCAGCGGCAAACATTACCCCGCGCTGAAGTAGGTAGAGGTCTCATAGATGTATCTAACTTACTTATATTATTTTTATTTTATTTATTAGGAAACCTACGTTATACACTTGTGGTACTTGAATGGTGAATCTCACCACCCCCCTTCACAGTTAGCTACCGTGGGAAAATCTTTGTTTCAGAGGGCACGCGGGATCTGTGACGAGCAACACCTGGCCGGAGAGCTGCAACATGTCAAGCAAGTTCTGCGAGACAACAAGCTGCAAGTGCCGCGCCTACGTCACAGGGACCGAGTGAAACCAGCCACAGTCGAGCGCGTCCCTGCAGTCCTACCTTACATGAGAGGCGTCACTGACAAGATTGGCTACATTCTAAAGCGAGCTTCAATTAAAACTTACTTCAAGCCGCCAAAGAAAATTAGTCAGTTTCTACCACCTGTCAAGTGCCACATCCCTCTACAAGATGCAGGAGTTTACAAGCTTGATTGTGATTGTGGGCTCTCTTACATCGGACAAACAAAGAGATCCATTAGAACCCGGGTCAAAGAACACATAACTGATGTGAAGCACCGTCGCAATACAACATCTGCTGTCTGCAAACACAGGACCGCCCAAGCCATTATATTCGCTTCGATAGACCTCAAATCCTGGCGAAAGAAAACCGATATCGCCCTAGAATGATTCGAGAAGCCATAGAAATTAAAAAAACATCCTAATTTCAATAGGGAAGATGGCTGGGTACTACCATCGTCATGGGATCCTGTTATTAATATAATAAAATCTAATAATAAATCTAAACATAACAGACAGGTAGATGTAGTAAGTTCTTACTGTGTAGATCAAAATGATAGCATTTCTGATTAATAATATTTTTTTCACTTTTTCATTGTAAATGTATGTAGTAATGTGTTGCTTAATAATTTGTTTTTTAAATAATAGCAAATTTAAATTAAAATTATTATTTTTAATTAATCTTAACTTTTTCAAATTACACATAGATCAATTGTGGCTTAAATAATTAATACTATATTTTATATTTTTCTTATGGTTATAAATATAATAATGGCAACACTAAATATAGATTACTAATTAATATTTTTAAAATTGTAATAATTATAAAAATAATAGCAAAAAATTAAATAAATAATTTTCCATATTCAATTATAATTAAAATTATAAAAATGTTTAAAGTTAAAATATTGTAATGTAATTGGTGCAATTTTCATTTTGTTAATTGTGGGTAGGCTGTCTGTAACAACTATATCTTTAAGACATGTAACACCTCAGTCTCTCCCGTGACCATGGATGCTGTAAAGCATTCGAAACGTCGGGAAACAAAAAAACAAATAAATCCGCGACAAAATCCGAAAAGATAGTTTTATTTAAAACGTAAAAAATTTAATAACTTTTTAAACACGCTAAACAATAATTCCAAGTTACTTTGTACATAGAATTAAAATAATTCTATCATTAACTTGATTGAATTTCTTTAAAACTAAACTACAAATATATTTTTCCAGCCTTTTCTTAATTTACGTTATCTTTTTAATTAGTTCTCATCTAATTTTATTTTACTGCAAGATTTTGATTTTCAGGTACCGCGAAAACATAGTGCAACTTCGAAAGATAATGCGTGATCAGCCAGAGACTCCTATAGACCGTGCAGTGTGGTGGTCTGAGTATGTCATAAGGAACAAAGGCGCCAAAAAACTGAGAGCGCGTGGTGCAAACATATCGTATTATGAATACTTGGAAGTTGAACTTGTAATAATTATCCTAATAGTAGTACTTCTAGCTGTAGCCTTATCTATAGCAAGCATTAGTTATATGTGTAGATATATATTAAGTTTATTTAAAAGCAAAAACAAAATCAAATTAAACTAGGCGAATTTGTCAAATAAATAATTAGCGTAGCGTGTGTTCAGGTTCAAAGAAGACTTCTTGTACGTAGTGCTTATAGATTAATTTTAGTATAGATATTAAAGATATGATAGTAACAGTAGCCTATGTCCCCTCCGACGTATGTTCACCTTGTCATGGTGGGGGAAGGGAGGAGGGGGGGGCTCATTAGACTCCGGCAATCCAGCCAAGTGTAAAGCGAAGCCAAAGAAACACACTGGGAGGTGGCTCACTTCAGTGGGTAGTGTTGTTTGTGGTTAGTTTGCTTAAGATGGAGGAGATTTCGTTGGGCTTGAGTGGGTTGTGCTGGCTTTTTTGGCCAGTGAACCCTACGTATTCTTATATCCTACCTGTATGTATGCAGATAATAATATGAGTTGCATTTTTCAACGTTAAAATAAACGTCGTAGTCTGTATACTAAATTTCAAATTACGCACCTACATAGTACATACACACAAACTTTCGCAAGTATAGTAGTAGTCAGATAACACAATCTTCTTATTATCTTCTTATCATTTTCGAATATTTCCTTATTATAGATAATTACGTTCGAGTAGAAATATAATCCTATATCAATGATCAATTATCGTGATTGATGATCACGCCTTAAATCGATGGCACGATCATGTTCTTAGATTATTCGATTATCTGAAACCTCCAATTTCACAATGAATTAATTTCAACTAACAATCAAGAATGACTTGTAAGTATTAAATAAAACTATCTTTTCGGATTTTTCGCAAATTTATTTTGATTTTTGCTTCCCGACGTTTCGAATGCTTTACGGCAATCGTGGTCACGGGAGAGGCCAAATGTGGAACGGCAGCTATCATTTTTCAAGATCTCTACGTATAGTTCTATGATGTGGAGAATAATTCATTGTAATAACAAATGCATCGTTTTTGTTCCAAAAAGTCGACTATTATTTAGTTAATTAAACATACTAGCGGGCACATTTGAATAGGCACCCCGGTCGAAACTTATTGTCCCTTTTATTATTGTATATAACAAATTGATTTCGATTAAATACGCTATGATCGTAGCAATCTTGCAGCGGGATCTTGGTCCATAAATAAAAACATTGACAAAACTTCAAATTTATACCTGAACAAACAAAATAAAAATTTTTGGGCGCCATTTACCTACTCAAAACTACGAATAACGTATTTTTAATTAGCGCGGCAGAATATTAATATTAATAATATTAATACGGATAAAAGTTAAATGATAGTATCGCGAATTTGTTTAAGAACCGTTAAAAGCTCTGCACTCTGCGATAATGTAGCGTCCATAAATATATTTTAAACAGTTATTTATTATTAAAAGAATTATTAAAGTTGGTTTAGACTTTAGTACATGACAATAATCATAGAATTTTATTAGGAATTGCTTATTGTACGTGTAGGTACAAATTATATCTATTTCATTTTATGCTTTTCTAGATTAATGCACAGATAAATAAAACTGAAAGTTTTTGATATACATAAAGATGAATATAAAACCTCATTCATAATGATCACAATACACTAATTATTTCAAATTTGAAAGCAAGCTCGCTTATAGGGATTTTTTGAAAAAAAATTTACATCTGCAAAACTATTTCAAGTATAAATATAACACCTCCAGGTAAATTTCTACGAAATTAATTAAATTTCTAAGTAAATAGTAATGTAACGCCGCGCCGTCGTGTCCGCGGTCGTGGAGGGATTAATAATATATGTATACTTTAAACAAAAAAGGTATAACACATCGACTTCAAAATCACTTGAAAGTAGCCAGTCCACCCTTTAGAGTAAAGTTTAGGGGTAGATTTTCTTTAATTTAGAAAGCTCCGCTCTTTTAAATTTCACTTAAACCTGTTGAGGTGCCATAGCATAGATAAAAAGTAGCCAAAGAAAAATCATCTGAACCTTAAGGACAATAATTTGAAGTAATCCAGTAATTATTACAAAAAATATTCATATAAATAAAACACTGACAATATTAAAAAAATATTTTTAATGAGTAACTGAAAATAATTACAATTAAATTAATTTTTAACAAAACTAGCACAAAACACGGTAAGTTTATAAGGACAGAGCGCAATGTTGCTTTCTGGATGTCTGGTGAATAAATGAGCCCCTCCACTCCACCGTCTCCTATTTATAAACATGGCCACCCAGTACATGTCTAGCTAGTGTTGCTATCTAACAATATAATATAATCTTAAAAATATTTTAATACTCAGATCTCGTGTCTGTCACGACCTTCGGGTACATTGAAAATGAATCTGCCAAATGAACTGAATATTTCTTTAAATATTAATTACTAGCAGAACCCGCGGTTTCGCCCTCGTTCAAACTCCAAAAAAAGTCATTGGCTTTATGCTGGTGTGATTTTCAAATGTGTGAGTATGATTTTGACTCGCGCATTGAGAGTTCCGTACTGCCGAATATTTTGTTGTTTTTACTAGTATATTTACACACTAAAATAAAGATTTTACGCAATAAATACTTTAGTATTTACAAAGAATAAGTTTGTGTTTCATATTATTTCTTAAAGATATTATGGAAAACAATTATTTTTATGATCGTAATTCAAAATATCCAGTTTTTAAAAAGATATTTAACGTCTATTCTATAAATTAATTTTCGTTTAAAGTATTAAGAAAACTCCACTACCGCTATATTTCCCCCGAGCACATCCAGCAAACACAATGGTCTCCATAATTTTTTCTTTCCCCATCCTGTCAGTCTTATCCCATTACACAGTTAAGTGGCTTATTCATAACAGGTATGCTAACCTTTAGAAGGACAGAACACTGTTAATGAATTTCATAGAATAGTGAACTGCTTCATCCATTTTCATCACTGAATTGGCAGACCTATATTCTATTTCTGACCCTTCAAAGGACTTAAGTTATTAAAATCAAAATCACTTTTGTTTTTAAAATCAGTAGCATTGCTATTTTTGGGGATCAGTGTAGCACATTCACAATGCCAAGAAAATTAATACCAAGTTTCAGATAATTCTAATCATAAACAATGGATACTAGATTTTTTGAAATTCACCCTCATGCATATGTTTTATTTCTTATTTTAAAGGTAAATACATTTTGTTTCATTCAAACTTCTATCCCCTATTTTACCCCCTTGTGGGATGAATTTCAAAAAATAATAAAGGGCATATTTTTTTTAATTGTATTGAAGAGCATTAATACATAGTTTCAAGTAATTCTGATCTTAAATAAATGTTTGTCCATATAAACCTTAGCACGTCCTTTTACCCCTTTAATGGTAGGGGAACCTGAGAGGCTAAATTTACAGTTACTACAGCGTCATGGGGACCTACTGGATTGTGAAGATTAGGTTCTAAACCAAAAAAAAATATGTTAAGGTTTCCATTTTAGAGGGGGAGAGAGCGTGCGCTAATTTCCAAAAATGTAAAAAAAACAGTCACATGGAAATTCTCAAGCGCATCAGATATACATTATTTCATCTTAAAAGGAAAAATTTATTAAACTTGATTTTATCTTAATCTTTTCAAACACTTTAAACTGCACTGTTTAACTGTTATTCTTTACAGTTTAAATTATAATTACACCATATATCAAGATCACATACTCGTATGAGTTATCACCTTCTGTGATATTAAATTTCAATATGTGTGTATCTGGGAAAGACAATATATATCTTGACAATATTACAAAATGGTGTACGGAATATTTTAGACTTAAAAATAATCGGATAAGTGCGAGTCTGACTTGCACACCCAGGGTTACGTAGCCTGAAACATAAATTTATGTGTGATTTTTTTTAACACATCATTTTGGTACCTTAAAAATAAAATAAATTATTTACCTCTTTACGATACTAATTTTATTGCCGATATAAGAAACAATGGGTACAATGTTTATTATTTATATCAGGCTATTGGCGTAAACAAAAAAGTCACTGAGAAATATATATCTGTATTTTATGGACCCGTGACCCCCAAGCCAAATATAATTTTTTGAGAAGTTTGGAGTCTAAGAAAAGAAGGAATAATACAATTTTTTTAAGTGCCTAATTCGAAACAAATTAAGTTTTTATTCGTTATTAAGTTTGTCTTTAATTTAAATAGCGCTATACAAATAGTGCGATCGCGATGTGCTACACAAAAAATAAAACCGGAAGTTTTATGTTTTTAAGACGTTTATAGCAAACAAGTATAGCAAACCGTTTAAAATTGTTTTTTTTTTCAATTTCTGGCTTGTTGTGACATCTTATCGAAAAATATTCTTTACCAAAGTTGTAGGTCTAGTACAAATCTATGACTATTACAATAACCTGAAAGTTCTCGACATATTTAAAAAAATGATTTTTAATTTTTTCTTGTTCTTTTTTATTATTTTTAATGACTGCAAAAACTTTTTGATATTCACGAATCTAGAGGAATATAATCTTCAAAATACATGCCGTCTGGCATGGCGAAATTATAGTCAAATGAAAGTGTTAGACATTTGGCTACGGAATCTTAAAAAATAAAAAAAAACCTCTTATTTAATTAAATTTAATCTTCTTCTTAGTTCTAAATAAACTTAATATAAATCTATACAAATATATTACGCATATTATAACTAAGGCTATAACTAAAAATACTATTGATAATATAATTAGTACAAATTCAATTTCGAAAAATTCATAATACGATATGTTTGCACCTCGCGCCCTCAGTTGTTTGGCTCCTTTGTTCCGTATGACATACTCAGACCACCACAGTGCACGGTCTAGAGACGACTCTGGTTGGTCACGTATTAATTTACGTAGTTCCATTATATTTTCACGATATCTGAAAAATTAAAATTTATGTATATATGTATATATATTCCTGTACACCTGTAAAACAAAGTCCTTTTAGTTACACCATTTGTAACTCAAGGCCAGCTGAACCAATTGTTATGATATTAGATTTTTTGTATTTCTCTTAGCCGGAATAGGATAATAGCATTAACACATCAGAAAAATTAACGAAAAAAATAAAATTTATATGGCTAACGCTGGCTAACAACTATTTATATCTATTTAAAATGTACCTAGCGACGATCCCGAGCGAAGCGAGGGTGAGTCGATAGTATTATTATCTTTCTTATATTAAATGGGAAATTCTTGTATACAACGATTTGGATCAAATTTTGTATTTAGATAAGGTTTTGCTTTTTAAGTTTATCTATATGAAAAAAGTATTTTCTGAAAAAACGCAATTTTTATATCTATTCCAAAAAACGCCGCTTACGTTCAGAAGGAGCTTCGCTCGAAAAAAATTAACAACTTATCTAGAATGCATGTACGATTTTAGAAAAAATAGCGTGTGGAACTATGTAACAGCATAAAATACTGAAAATTTTTAGCTAGAGAGTCTAGAAGACTGAAAAACTTTGAGACTGTGTCACAATATGAGCTACTCGTATTTAATCGCATATAATGGCATTGACATTTTTATGACTTTCCATCAATTTTTAGAAATAAGTTATTTAATTATTATAAAATGCACGATTGTTAATCTTAATTATTGTAATTTTTTTTTTATTATAATGATGATTTTAATTTTACTTCTTATTATTATGTATTATTATCAATTTCTTTTGTATTATGACATTTATCTATAATAAATTTTTTTTTAATTTTTGTACTTTTAATTCATGAATATTAAAATGCTGTGTACACTTATAATTGACATGCATATATGGGATATTATTATTACATTAATTAAATTGGAAATGTTTCATATGTATGTTGTAAGTGTGCTTTTTACAAATAAATAAATATAATATACCTACAGAGTGGAACAATCGAACAGGATATGGAAGATAATTATTTAAAAATATTGTAGTATTATAAATAAAACTATAATTGTTTTTTTTTTGGGGATTATTTAGATATTTGATTCCCGACGTTTCGAATGCTTTACACTTTACAGCAATCATGATCACGAGAGAGACTAAGGTTTTAGGTGTCTCAAAAGTAAGTACTAAGGAACCCGAGCGCAGCGGAGGTAAGTCGCTAGTCGTTCAAAATGCGTCACTACATGGGAAGCTGGCGGTATTTCACCCCTGTGCCTCATAGAGCACGTAAAGTTGTCGGTCCTCCGCTTTAACTCTCACCGATTGTGTCGAAATATTGTCCCATCGGATATTGAGAATGATTAGAATAGAGTACATTGACGTCTACGCGCACACGCGCTGCGCTATAATATCTCCTGCGCAGTTGGCTAGTCTCACAATCAGTGAGATTGAACGCCGTGGCTGAAATCGGTCTGTTGAGAGGACATTATGCGTCAATAGTTGTGTAGTGTGTTACTTTTCATGTATATTTAGATTCATAAATTATAATTTACGTAACTCATAAATAAACGAAACACGATAACGTGACCTTATTTAGAATAACCCATAAAAATAAATTATAATATCAAATAACATTCATTTCAAGTATATTAAAGGTGAAATGTTTTCTTCATATATGTATGTATATAATGTGGTTATGTATAGTTTGATTATCTTGTGAAGGCTATCTTAAGCCTGTTATTTAGTTCAAGGCTAATTAAGACTAATCAAGATTATAAATAAATATATTTCTTTAATTAATTTTAAAAATAGATTAATTTTCTTTAATTAATCTATTTTTAAGTACATAGTAACATCCAATTGATAAATAAATTAATTTGAAGCTATACTACTACGAATACGTATATAACGTACGTACGTAGTAGTAACGTACTTGTCTTCTGATTACTATCTTAAATTAAAACAATAACTACCATGACTATTTGACTAACTGACTAACTGACCATGCTTCCATAGTTTCTATCTCATTTTAAGGTCACTAAATTTCAAAATAATCGCCAAACCAAAATTTTCCAAAATAAAATCGGAACGCCTTTGGTAATAATTCCACTATTTACTATACTGAAATTATTACCTGTATCAAGTACCTCATCGTAGGTAGGAATTATCGTACCTTTTATCTTTAATAACAGTCTCGATGGCACTTCTAAATTCATCTTCAGTTAAATATTTGATGTCCACTTTAGTTCCTATTCCGTGTCTGACATATTTTTCTGCATTATACCATTGATCACCTAGCATTGGAACTGCCACAAGTGGCACGCCAGCAGATATTGCTTCATCAGTCGATTGAAGACCAGCTTGTGTAATGAATAACTTAACCTTCGGATGTCCTGTAATGAAAATTTAGAATAAAATACATATATGATACCGCTTTTTTATCTATTTTTTTATTTTAAATACAATTACTTAGTAAATCCGATTGTGGGTACCATTTAGAAATATTAATATTATCTGACTTTCCATGTAGTTCTTCGTCGTTCCATTTCCATAAAACGTTGTAGGGTAGGCTAGAAAGAACTTTCACCATTATGTCTACTTTATCAGAAGGCATCATTTGTGGTAATATATTAGTTCCGAAACTTAAATATATAACATCTCTCTCCGCCGAATCCAAATATGTCTTAAGATTCTGAAAGAAAAATAATAGTGTATGAATCATTGGTATACTCTCTGCTGGCTAAGGTATAATGTTATATTTTATATAGTATTATTTTTGTTGTCTATTTCAATAAATAGTTAAAATTTTTAAAACCCTACTGTAGTGTAGAAATGGTCCAAAAGAATTTGGTTAAATAATTACTACCATCGAAAAAAGGGAAAAGAAAAAGTTTTATGGTACCAAATTATTGTTTAGCTATCCGGATTTAGTCACAAAATTTCAAATCGACACGACAATTAGACGTAGGTCAAAATCAACTTCCAAGATTTGATTTCATAATTATTTTGGCTGTTAAAAGTTAAGCTGATAGTTAATAAAAAGAATATTTCCCTAATATAATAATACTAGCGACTTACCATCGCTTCGCTCGGGTTCGTCCCTAGGTACGTTTTAACGGTTAGTATGCTGTATGAAATACCAATCTTTGAATTTATCGGCTTTTCTGTACTGTAATATGCATGTATTATACATATAAACCTTCCTCTTGAATCACTCTATCTATTGCTGAAAACTGCATTAAAATCTGTTGAGTAGTTTAAAAGATCTAAGCGAACAGATAGCGGAAGCGACTTCATTTTATACTATGTAAAGATTGATATATTTTAACAATGCACTTAGGTTTCTAATTATCCGTTAATATCATGTTTAAGGATGAAAATTTATAGAAATAATAAATTAGAGACATTTTATTATGCAACGTACCTCTGGTAATTCTTTTTCTGGGAGCTGGTGAATACCACCCATGTAAACGACACTTGGCGGCACTGGCTGGTTATCAGCCCAAATAGGGTTAAGATTTATAAATAGCATATGAATATTCTCGTACAATTCACTTAATGGAGGAATATCTGAGCCAAAATGTTTTTGTAACATTTTATTTTCATAGTTTTCATTTGAATATACAGCATATTTATAAATTAAATCATAGTATAAATTGATAATTTTTTCATAAATGCTTAAGTTGTAAATTCTTCTATGAATAAAAGATGGGTAAAGAAATGGATGAGTTAAAGATCCCAAAATATCGTGATTATTGAAAAATGCTCCCATTGAGCTAATTAGTATTGTTGGGGCGTTAAACTTGTGAGAAAACGCAACAGCAGGATGCATAACAGCTTCAATTAAAATTAAGTTAAAACTATCTTTGTCCTTAGTTAGTAATTCTTTAATTTCTGTAGTTTCTAACTGAGCTTCAAAAAGAGATGGTAATAATAAAGACCCTTCTCGCAGCTCTGAGAAACTTGGAAGATTTTGGTCAACTTTATAATTGGCTTGGAAAAACTTCTGTAGTTTGCTGTAAGATACGTTTCGAACATCAATTTCTTGGTAATTCACAGGAGCCTCCCCTTTAAGGTATACTGGATCAGTTGTGATTACAGTCAACTCATGACCTCTCTTGGCAAGTTCTTGAGTAAGTTTACGAAAAACCACTTGGTGACTGATAGATGGCATAGGAAATACTCCTAAAATTTTAGCTGATTGTACACTCAACACATTCACTAAACTTAAAACTAATATTATTTTGAATGTCATTTTTTAAATTTCATCTATTGTTTTATTTATCATATCATTAATGAACTAAAGGAGGAAATGAAAATCTTTATATATAGAATCCTAATCATGAGCAGTATCGACGACTCACCTGTCTTGCTGATAAGAATGCTTATCATTTTATTAGTTTTTAAAATAAAAATCATTATCAATATTTTAATGTAAGCATATGTAAGTGGTAGCCCATTTGAAGTACAATCACTTTGTTAGCAGAGTCAAATGGGTTCAGACCCCGGATCCGGTATGAAAGTGTAGATAATATAATTTTCTACTTTATTACCACTTGCTTATACGAGGAAGAACAACAACGCGTTGACTTGCATATCTGAGCAAACCTAACTAGTGTTCGAGAGTCGTGTTAACTCCGCAAACTGCCTGTGGCCAGCGTGATATACTATAGAACCATTCCATAAGTAGGACGTTAAAAGGGCTGACTTATTATTATTAAAATAGTAATTTAATAAATTAGTGTAAAGTAATAGATCTATATTTTTGAAGTTATACTACTTTTGGCGCGTTAGGCAAAATCAAAACAATGATGTAAGTGATTTTTTACTATGCAACAGATTAGACTACAGTATGAAGTTAGTCGTTATTGGCTACAGTGTGAAGTTAGTTGTTAAATCTCCCTTTAATATGTGTGAAGTGATGTCTACGTGCTATATTTCTATAGGTATACACAACAAGTATTTTAGATCGATAAAAGTAAAAATTATTATAAGCTTTTACTTAGTTTCACCTATACCGGTGTCTGTCAGTAATCAAATCTTGCAAGTTAAATTTGACCCACTTCCCAATGTCTGATTCGAATTAAAATTTGGCACACATGTTTGGTTCTCGTGACAATACACGATTACCTAAGTGCCGCCATTTTTTATCCAATATAGCGGACATTACAAATTAGCGATTTATCATTTCTATAGTGAACCTTATAATATGGACATTTATTGAAAGGGCTTGAAGAGCGAAATACAATAAGTAAAATGACGTCATTGTAAATATAATATGGCGTACTCTCAACGAAAGTGGACTATGTTTTTCATGCGCACCCCACAAAATGATGATATCAAATGAAAGGGTTTGCTGAGACAAATACGAATAAAATAATAATAAAAAAACAAACAAACTATATTAAAAATAAAAAAAATAAGTATAACTTCTTACATGCGTATATAAGTACACACACACTTTTTTCATTTATCCTATGTGTTGATCGAGTACAAATGTTGAAACCACGCCTTCAACATAAATACTGTTTCGAGGTTATTGACTGATAGCAGTTATCTTTTTATATCAAATACATCTTTTTACATCAATGAAAATTTCTAACGTGGAATTAGAAGTTACGTAAATAACTAGCGGGTAAGCGGGAAAGAGAACCTAGCAAAGACGTCATATAGATATAAAAAGCCAAAAAATAATTTTATATATTATTCTCTTTTCTATTTTTTTAACACAATAATTATCTACTTATCCTACGTGAGACTCAACCAGACATTGACCACTAATCATTGGCAATAACATAAATTACTAAAAATTTAAGGAACCACATTGTGTTTATACAATTAAATTTGATACGTTATCTATTAAATCATAATCTCCCTGCCCATTTCCCAATCACTTGGGGTCGGCGAAATACATCTTCTGTACTGCTGATAGGATTGGGCAAAAGATTTAGGACCGGCCGCCTGCCTGACGTCAACCCTCCTTTGGAATGCTATTGTCAAACGACTTCCTCAAAAAGGAGGAGGTTCTCAATTAGGCTGTATGTTATTTTTATGTTTGTTACCTCAGAACTTCCTCATTTATTAACCAATTTGGGCAATTTTTATATTGTTTGAAAGTATATACTTCCAGATTAGTCCCATTTAAATTAAAAAAAAATACCTAAGGGTGGAAAAATAGCTAATGATGAATTTAAACTACTTCTAATTGTCATATTGACTTGAAACTTTGCAAGTGTTTCTATTTCCGTTGATAATGCAGTGGTTCGGTATCGTTGACCTGATCTGATGGTCAGGCCAGAAGGTTAGGTAGGTGGCACTTTTCAACGGCTAATAGTAGATACTTTCAGTTTGGGCTTATTTTGTTTGATTTGACAAGCCTAACACTTTAGAATTGGATTTTAGTGCCAGAATTTTTAGTGTTAGTAATAAAAGCTAATTTTAGTTTGTAAGTTTTCGTATAAAAATTGGCATCAAAGTAACTTCAACGGTTGAAGCGAATATTTTATTAAAATACTTTCTTCTTACTTTGCTACTACTATGTCTACACTAAAAAGGGAAAAATAAAAACGTTTTAACAAAAAATAAAAATCGACTTCAAGAAAAGCACTAAAAAGTAAAAAATAACTGATTGGTAGTTTTCATTTACTATACATACCTAATCAAATATTTTCGAAGTCGGTGTGCTTTGCTTTGTATCGGCTGGCATCGGCTTCGAAAGTATTTGATTAGGTATGTATAGTAAATGAAAACTACCAATCAGTTATTTTTTACTTTTAAGTGCTTTTCTTGAAGTCGGTTTTTATTTTTTTGTTAACTAGTTTTCATTTATCTCGGTAGTCTTGTAATATGCACATTCGATATTATTTTCTTTTAAAACATGTTTTTATACTATTACTCAAAGTTTTAATGTAATTTTCGGATATACTCATATTTTAAAATAAATTTTGAACACATGATAAAATTTGTTTTGACGTTGTAATTTTTTTTTAAATAATATTTTTTTCTATAAACGTTATCTGATATTTTTATGAGCGAAACATTTCCAACATGATTACCACTTGTTTTAACGGTAAAGGAAAACATCGTGAAGAAACCTGCATGTCTGAAAGAACCTAGCAAGTTTTCAAAAGACATGTGAAATCCGCCAACACGCCCTTGGCTAGCGTGGTAGACTATGATCTGATTCCCCTCGTACTGAAGGGAGGCCTGTGCCCAGCTGTGGGACGTTAAAAACTGCTGAATAAAATACAATACAAATAATGTAAACAAATTTCATTGCAAGCTAATAACTATTTTTATTAACATAATCTTCATTACATTATCAAAGTCCGATAGGGTACAGTGGATTTTTCTAGATCTGTTTAAAACGTGCATGGTTGTTGCCTCTTCAACTATTGCTAAGTTTTTAGCAAGCAATGTCTTCACTTCACAATAAATTGATTCTTATATAGAAACTAGCGGACCCGACAGACGTTGTCCTGTCTACACGTCTTTAATTTGAAAATTTCAAACTTTTTTTAATAATTTTTTTGATGAAAATTATTATTCAAATTGTGAATCTAAACCATTCCCAGATCCCCTTGAACACACACAAAAAATTTCATCAAAATCAGTCCAGTCGTTTGAGAGAAGTTCAGTGACATACACACTCACAGAAGAATTATATATATAAAGATTTTGTACTATATTAGTACTATATTAGTATTAAAATTATTTGCATACATGTTTGTTCTCAGAAATAGTATGACTCCCATACAAACTTTCATCCCCATTTTTAGCCCCTTAAGGGATGATTTCCGGGATAAAAAGTATCCCATGTCCTTCCTAGGGTCTTAAACTATCTTCTTACTAAATGTCATCTAAATCGGTTCTGTAGATCCAGATATTACCCCCTACAACGTCACGAACTCACAAACTTACCCTCTTTGTAATATTAATATAGATAAATAATATATTTTATTAAAGAAAATGGATTTATGGAAATGGAATACAGAGCGACGACAGCTTAGTATTTCCGTAACATTGTTAATACGTTAATTTAGTTAATTGCCCTTAACTTGGTTAGTTAACACAATTTGTAAGCAATATTAGATCACTTAGTGAAACTGCTACGTCCGTATCATAGAAGAGTGTTTTCCTGTTATACAGATGGGAGTTGCAGAAGGAAGACTATTACCAGCCAGTATTACATATTGTAATATATAAGTAAAATATTTTAAATACATATATGGACGTTTTAAACCTATGTGTGTATTCAGCCCTTTTTAACGTCCCACTGCTGGGCACGGGCCTCCATTCAATACGAGGTGGATCAGGCCATAGTCCACCACGCTGGCCAAGTGCGGGTTGGCGGACTTCACATGTCTTTCGAAAACTTGCTAAGTTCTCTAAAACATGCAGGTTTCCTCACGATGTTTTCTTTCACCGTTAAGACAAGTGGTAATCATGTTGAAAATGATTCGCACATGAAAATATCGGAATGCGAGACCTGGGAACTCGCTTTACTCGGTTTCCCAAGCGAGCGCGTTACCACTGGGCTACCACTGCCTTCTACAAGCCTATACAACCTATACAATATATAGGTTATCTCCATTTCGAATTTCATAAACGTACATTAAACCATTACAGCGCGGAAAAAAAACCAGTTATGATTTAAGAGCCACTTAAGTTGAGATATTCTCCCGCAGTAAAAAATATCCTATATGTTGACCCGAATAACCAGCCATCATCATAGGACGTGGCGGGACAGTTATAGTCCTTTGCCAATCCCATTCGTTCCGCCGTCTGAAAATCTCGCGCCTGGACATAGTCTGTCTTGGCAGACCTGGAAGTCTCTCAACAGACTCCGGACTCAGGTCGGCCGAAGCAAGGAAAACTTGTCCAGGTGGGGATTCTCAGAGGGCGGCCTGGAGTGCAGATGTGGTACTGTTCCACAAACGATGAGGCACTTACTGGCATGCCCTGCTTGCCCTGTTACCTGCAACTTACAGGAGCTTATGGACGCCACTGATAAAGCAAAGATCGTGGCTGAGTTTTGGGCTGACTCGATTTAAAACTTGCCATCGACACGAGAAGAAGAAGATCATACTAAATTTCATCAAAATCTGTCGAGTGGTTTTCTCGTGAGGCGTTCCTAGACTGACAGACAGATGGCCAAAATTTTTAATAAACTATAGATCCGGCCTCTAAATAGACATTATTATCGATATCGATAATAATGTCTATTTCAATAAGATTTTCCAAAAAAATATTTAA